CAGTAATAAACCTTTGGGTTCCATAAAATGTTGGGAAATTCTTGAGTAGCTGCAGAATTGGCGGCTCCTCCAGAAGGCCTCAGCTCCATGAGTAAGTAAGTAAGTACAAATTATGAAGCTTCTGATTAAATAATTGTCTCCATCCTCTTACAGCCTCTTAGGGTGAAAGATCACATTTCATATCTATTTTGATTGCTTTTCTCTTTATGTTAACAACTGTCTAACCATGCCATGGTCTTTAAATTGTATTTCCAGCCTGTCTGGCAAGTCATAAGATGATTTTCATGATGTTACTCTGCAGTGCCAGTACCAAACATTCTTAAGACCAGTTCATACAACTAATTGCATTCCTGGCTAGAAAGCCATACATATACATGTATGGGAATTTAAATTCCCTATTCATGTTCAGTAAAGGTTACGTAGATGACACAAGAACCTGTGCCGTGGTTTGGAGAAAAGTATTAAATAACATTATAAGTGAATTTAAAACACCAAGTATACTAGGTATATTAATTGAATTATGCTTGAAGAAAATTGATGCTAAAGTCTGTGTAAGTAAATGTTTGTCTCATACATTTCTTATTGAGAATGTTTCAAAAACAAGGGAATATGTTATTTCTTTTACTGTTTACACGGTACACAGTTGTCAGATATGGGCACCATTCTTGCTTAGTGTGCACATTATGCATTAGTCATGGTTAAGAAAACATTTTATTTGTAATGTTCATAGATTGGTGTGAGAAATTATGTTTTTCTTATAGAGACAAATCATGTCCATAAAAAGTATGTTTTCTCAGGCTTTGCCTGTCTGTAACAATGCTAGAAATGTAAGTGAAGCATGAAACAAGAAAGATAAATGGAGAAAATTTGCCATTGTAGCTAGTGAAATTCAGTGTATCAACTGTTGATTGCTGTGCACTTACAAGTCAATATTACAACTCTTGCAACACCCAATTGAGTGCATCTGATGGTGCATATCCAGTTGATTGCTTCAAATTGTAAAGGTAAAAGTTAAAGCTATCTCTGTAACAGGCTGTGAAGGCCCATAGGGTTGTGAGAGGTTGAGGTTCCAACATTTTCTAGACAGTCGGTTCACAGATTGCAGGAAGGTTGTCAGCCTTACTCACCAGATGCCCTTTACTCCCCAGGAAGATTCCTGGTACTGATTTCTGTTAGAGGCTAAGTCAACCCCAGGGCCATAGTGCAGCTGGAAGGGTTAAGTAAATTGAAAAAAATGTTCCACATCAGGACTTGAACCCACGACCTTCCAGCTTGTAGCATAGTGCTTCAAATTGTCCTTGTCATTTATTACTTGTATTAAATGTCACTTCTGATAGGAGGTTGGAGAAAACTGCATAATGAGGAGCTTCATAACTTGTACTTTTCTCCAAGTATAATTAGAGTGATCAAGTCAAGGAGGATGAGGTGGGCAGGGAATGTAGCACGAATGGGGGAGACGAATGCATACAGGATATTGGTGGGAAAGCCAGAAGGAACGTGGCCACTGGGAAGACCAAGGCGTAGGTGGGTGAACAATATTAAAATGGATCTTAGAGAGAGAGGATGGGATGGTATTGATTGGATTGGCTCAGGATAGGGACCAGTGGAGGGCTCTTGTAAACACAGTAATAAACCTTTGGGTTTCATAAAATGCTGGGAAATTCTTGAGTAGCTGCAGAATTGGCGGCTCCTCCAGAAGGGCTCAGCTCCATGAGTAAGTAAGTAAGTAAGTAAGTAAGTGAATTAAATTTTGCTTCACTTGTTTTATGTGGCAAAGCTGGCAGAAAACAAGCAGAAGGAAGTCCATATACAGAAATGAGAAAGATTTCAGATCTCCTCCAGTCTTACAAAATGCTCTTTCAGACTTTCATGAACAAGCTCTTAATATGAGATGGGGCTGCATCTAGTTTAAGGATTGTGCTATCAGCTTCAGTTTTGAATGATACGTAAAGTTTCATCATGTTCAGATACACTGTTGAGCCTAGTTCCGGACATTGTCACTCAGGTGTGGAGAGAGGATTGCTGAATAAGTATGTGCAGAAAGATGAAGATGAAATTTGCCAACATTGCACATTAAGTATGTCAGTTTATCTTTCATTTTGCACTTCATTGAAGTTTCTCGCATATACTGTGTTAAAACAGCAAAGCGCACTGTGTAATTATTCTGTTTAAAAGTGTAAATGATAAATTTTCTTAATCATGACTCTGATAATTTTTCATTATTGTTCAGGGTTGGGGAGTGAGGTACATCACGCTAGTAGACAATGGCTGTGTCTCCTATTCAAACCCTGTGCGTCAGTCTTTATTCACATATAAAGACAGTCTGAACAGTGGACGGCCTAAATCTGAAGCTGCTGCAGATGCATTAAAGGCAATTTTTCCAGGAGTGGTAAGTTACTCATTGTGTATCTTCCATGCAACCGATAATAATTATATTGTGTCTAACATAAGAACGAGACTCAAAGCATCTATTAAATAAAAAGCTCCTGTCAAGAAAGGTGAAAAATATGTTGTATAGTGTTTTTATTTCAGCAGTATTAGCATGTCTTCAAAATATGGACTGTAGCAAAGTCACATGTGCATCTACTGTAGGAAAGGAAGGTATTAAGAAAATTGTATAGTCCATTTAAGGAGAAACAAATGTGGCAAATTGTATGGTTTGACCCAAATCACCTCACTGAACTTTGTCATGGAGCCTGTTCATTAATACTGAAAATAAAAGGGTCATTTCATTGATGGTGTCCTAAAAATCACAGTACATTCTCTGTGCTGTTNGGTTAACACCACATATACACGGTGCCAAATCCCAGAAGACTGTTTTCTTCATAGACACCGCCGTGAAAGCCTCAAATCTTACATACATAAATATTTTTTGTTATAATTAATTGATTTAATCCATTTGCTAAGAAGTAATGTAATAAAGTATTCTTTTAATTTATTCTTCTGAAACTATTATGCATCCAATACATCAGTGTGGCTTACGTACCAGGATATGCAATATATGTATTACATGTCTGCTTGTTCAGAATTTCTTAAATGCCACAAAATAAACTGTGGAGCCTGTAGAAATTATTTTCTGGCAAGATTCTGTATGTAGAATCTAGCAGGAATTAAAAATTAGAAGTCTCTTGCTATGCATAAATTCCATATACACGTAGCTGAATTTCTGCTACTTGTCATTTTTCGGACATAACCTCAGAGTTTTGATCTGCATCATGCTTGCAATTTTTAACATCCAAAGGAATTCTTCATACAAAATCTGTAGGCATGCTTGTATGATATATCTCTAAACAGAATTCCACATATTCATTAGTTACTATTATCATTGGGGAAGCAAATTAGAGTTTGCACATCTGGCATGTTTTTATTTAATGTAACGCAATCTTAACACCAGTTGCATACACGGTGTGTCCAGGATCCGTTAGGACTCATTTTTTTAAATATTGCCCTGCAATGCCATCTATTGGTGACTTGTGGCATTAAGATTCTTGAAGTTTCAGCTGTGGCTGTCTATAGTTTCAAAGCGCAAGCATCGCTGCATCATGTGTTCTGACCTTGAATGTAACAGTACTGTTCTGACGCTCGTCGGAAAATGGCGGTTGAACAGAGAGCCAACATTAAATTTTGTTTGAACTTAGGCAAAACAGCCAGAGAAGTGTACAAAATGATGAAAATTGTGTATGGTAGCGATTGTTTGAGTTGCTCGAACATTTTTCGATGGTATGCTGTACTTCATGATGGCAGGGAGGACATTGAAGGTGCTCCACGTGCATCAAAGCTGAGAACAAGTCGCACTGAAGAAAATGAGAAAAAAGTGACTGAAATCCTTGCATCAGACAGATGTGTATCTGTAAGACTTATCGAAGAACTTTTGGGAATACCAAAAAGTACTGTGTATCAAATTTTGACTGAGGGTTTGGGCAAACGGAAGGTCTGTGCGCGGTTTGTACTGCACATGCTCTCAGACAATGAAAAACATGCCAGAGTGGAACACTGCGAAGACATGTTACAGTTGGCCCAAAGTGATACAAAATTTACAAAATTGATTGTTACTGGTGACAAGACATGGTGTTTTCAATATGAGCCTCTCACAAAGTGGCAGAGTGCAGTGTGGTTGAGCGCAAAGAAGCTGAAACCAAAGAAAGTGCGCATGCAAAAGAGTCGAGTAAAGACACTGCTAACCGTTTTCTTTGATTCGAAAGGAATCATTCACAAGGAATTTCTGCCACAAGGTCAAACAGTGAATTCTGATTATTATCTCGGAGTCCTCAGTCATTTGTGGGCGAGTATTCTTCGAAATCGACTGAATATCGAGAGCAAGGTTCCTGGTTGCTCCTCCACTACAATGCCCCACCCCACAAATCGAAGATCGTGCGTCATTTTTTGGTCAGAAAAGGGATCACAGTCCTTGATCATTCTCCATATTCTCCAGATTTGGCTCCAGCAGATTTCTGGTTGTTCCCAAAAGTTAAGTTGGCGAGGAGACCATCACGACACCATCCAGGACATCTACAGGGAATCTACTGCAGTTTTAAATGTGATTCCACAAAAGGAGTACAGTGACTGTTTATGAAAACTTTTCAGTCAACTCCAGGTATGTATTGATTCAGAAGGAGACTATTTTGAATAAAAATAGTGAAATTTTGAAAATACTTCACGTCTTGTATTTTTAATGAACACAGTCCTAACAGAACATGGACACACTGTGTATGTCTAAGGACTGTGATCACATAAAATTTCAGACCCTTACAGTAAATATTGCCTGTATCACACTTCCACTTTAAAACCTTCTCATATCATGTTTCATGAAAATCAGTGTATGATCAAATGAATTTAGTGGATAGAGATGAATATCATGATACTGTAAGCCTTTCTTTCTTCATAAAATAAAATAGATTAAAACATGGGAGGAGGAGAAATATAGTAAGTTACTATTTGTAAATTGCCAGTAATTCATCTATAGGCTTCCTTAATTTTTGACTAGGACCTCATAGAGACTCAAGGTAAAGTTGTCCCTATGCTTAAATAATTAAGCACTATGCCATGAAGGAGTATGGGGGAGTTGGTGTATAGATCCAAATTTTCTTTACCTTGGCACTAGCTGGAGGTGATTGGTCAGCTTCACGCCCCTGCCACTTTGCCCCCAGCGAAAGATCCGTTGGTACTCATTGTATTTGAGGCTGGGTAGGCCCCAGAACCAGTCTGGGTGATGAGGAGAAGAGAAAATTCTTGACCCTACCGGGACTCGAACTCTGAAATCTTCGGTCCAGCCCATAGCCAGTCGCTATACCAACTGCAGTAAAGACACTTTAAAAATAAGAATTAAAATGCTGTTAAGAAATTAACTCTAAATTTATTGTCATTAGAAAAGCAATGGTTTTTCAGTGATGGTACTCACCTCTCCACTTCATATTCTTATTATAGCAGTTTAATTTGGCAGCCCATTAGGGAGATAAACACCTTGAAACTTTGGATAGAAGACATGTGGTGTAATTAACTCACCAGTAATTAAATAAGTCATAGTCCAAAATTAAAACACATTACATATATCCTCATTTGTTAAGTGTTCATGTTTAATTTTATGTTATGTATTTCTGAATCAGTGGTCTGTTTTAGAACAAAATTTTGCTAGAAACTAATAAAATGTGGTGGTTTCCCTTTAAATATGTGGTAATGAAATTTGTTCTCTGAAAATTTTAATCAAAAGCAGGTACTCAGATACTTAATATGCAAGGTGAATAAGTAGAACTTCTGTGCTTCTCTTTCATAACACTTAGGAGTCATGTGGAGTGCAACTTAATATTCCTATGCCAGGGCATCCCATTGGCCCATCTCTGTTGGCTGATACCAGAACTAACACACAGGTTCTAGAAGAGCTGATAGGCAGTCATGATGTGGTGTTTCTGCTTATGGATTCCCGAGAGAGTCGTTGGCTTCCTACTCTTATTGCAGCAAGCAAAAGAAAGGTATAATAATGTTACTCATTAATGGTAAAAGTAGAATAATAGTTGTAATTGGATTAGGGTGTTACAACCAAGCAAAACTGATTAATGGATTCTTCTTCTTCAGTGCGTCTTTTGGCTCAGGCAGAAATACATGCTGCTTTCTTGTCTCTTCGGCTGTGCCATAGATGAAGCGGTTAGTCGCTGGCTTCCTACTATGATGGCCCAGGTTCGATCCTGGGGTCTGGTCAAGTGGGATTTGTGGTGAACAAAGTGGGACTGGGGCGGGTTTTCTCCGAGTACTTCGGTTTCCCCTGCCAATCTTCATTCCACCAAATTCTCCATTATCATAATCACCCGGGGCAGGCTACAATGGGCCAGTCAGAGGCTGCCATGCCTAGTGGACCCAGTTGGACTCCACCCCCCACTAAGCGAATTTTAAAATTTTCTTGTCACTTCTGTACATGAGAAGGTAGACTTTGAGGATGCAATGATCAATTTTTTTGGACATTGTCCACCATTCCAGTCCTTTATTTGAGAAAACATTTGGAGAGTGGACTATGTCTTCATCCTCAGGTAAAAATCCTGCTTCACTCTGCACAGTTAATGGAGTTGGTATCTACTTCTGGACACCGTGGTTAACACAAGATACAATACATAAATAAAGCAACCCAGAAACCACTTGTGGGAACTAAGATGAAAAGACATATTCAGCTGAATGCATGAAACCTTCCACTTATGACCATGCATAATATTCTGGCCAGAATCCATTAAAGTAGAACCCAACTTCAAATGGAAGCTACAACCAATGAACCTAGTTCAAAAAATAACTAGTAACTTATATTGATCAATTTCTAGACATCCAGTGACCTTTACCAACTTTTGTAAGACAACGATAGACTAAAATGAAACCCAACGTTCTTTTTGTCCATATGGATTCAAGAAGAATCATTGGATCTTACTGAGATCATTTCTTTTACAGTTCACTTATTAAAAGGTAAAGTTATCCCTGTAGCAGTCTGTGAAGGCCCATAGGGTTGTGAGATGTCGAGGCTCCCACACTTTCTTTAGACAGTTGGCTCACAGATGGTGGTAAGGTTGTCAGCCTTATGCGCCTGCAGCCCTTTTACCCCCAAGAAAATGCCTGGTACTCATTTTTCTTAGNAGCAGTCTGTGAAGGCCCATAGGGTTGTGAGATGTCGAGGCTCCCATACTTTCTTTAGACAGTTGGCTCACAGTTAGTGGTAAGGTTGTCAGCCTTATGCGCCTGCAGCCCCCAGTACCATAGTGCAGCTGGAAGGATTAGGTAAATTGAAGAAATCCACCTCATCAGGACTCAAAACCATGACCTTCTGGCTTGTTGCATAGTTCCTCAACCATCTACACTATCATGTGCCCCAATTCACTTAGTACTTGCCAGTAATAGCGGCTGTCTGCACAACAGTAATTTAACAATATTATACCACCACAATAAATTAATCCTGACACTGTTGTCTGTTTTATTTTATTGTTAAGTAATTGTTGTGTAGACATCCACTCTATAGCATGATTCTGTAACATAATGGTGCAAAGAATACAGACTGTCAGTAAATATTTTTGAATATGACCAACTAGTCATGACAATGCATTGAAAGGCTGAATTTCATTTCTGTTACCCATGCTGTCCTGATTGTGTTATGTCCAGAAAATCTAATAAGGCATAAAGAGGTAGTTGTTTTTTAACCTTCAGCAACCATCTCATTTGGCAACAGTACTGAGTGCATGAAGTGGGTGCTAAGATACCCAGCATACTCATATATTGCTTGGAGGCCTTAATGGTGCTCTAGTGAGTTCCTTGACTAGAATTTACAAGTTTTCTTTTCAACTCAGAACTTTATGTGAATGAATGTATGAGAGTTAAAATATTTTGCTTATTTTAAGAAGGATTGGTAGGTAACACCAGTTTCACATTGCCTCAGTTTCAGCTAACAGTAAGACCATTATGAATAACTTTATATGATATTTCATATATTACGTACAGTTACGTCCCCACCAACATATGTGTATTCTATTAGCAATTTAGAAATATGCAAGATTATGTAATCTCTTTTAAAATCAGTGTTACAGATTTTTGTCTTTCTGAACATGCTGTAGTTTAGTGTGCTCCAAGATACTGTCAATATGATAGAAATTGATTGCCACAAAACGCTTTAAGGACAAACGTATGAAGTAGAACTTCTGAAGGAAGAATCAGGGTAACACTGGTTGCCACAGACCAATGCCATTGCTGTCAATGACAGTTCTTATATTTCTTATAACAGTACCAGATGTGAAAATATATAAAAAATGAGTTATGAATGTACTGAAAATAATTCATAATATGACTAACTTCGAAGCCTATTTGAAGATGAGTTGTGCCATTCTAAACAGGTTACTTAATTAGAGGCACTCAGAAACACTGACTAAAGGCCAATTCAGAATTTGGCTACACTTAGAAACTCTTTTCCAGTAGAGTACAGCATTTTCAGGCTGCCAGTATTTATTTTTATGAAGACTATAGAACATGCTTAATGCCATGATAAGATCTCTCATTCTTATGTCATTTCCTCTTGATGGAGACAGAAAAACTCTCCAGAACTGTTAACTCTGAATTGATGAGGATGGTCATTGAAGAAGATTTTATTACTTTTCATCACTGTGATGATTTGAAGTGTTATATGCTACGCCTTCTTTATATTTCTAGCTGGTGATGAATGCAGCCTTGGGATTTGATACATACCTTGTGATGCGACATGGCGTGAAATCAGATGACGCAGTTAATTCTATCCCAGACTGTTCTGGCAAGTCAATCCCTGGTCACAAATTAGGTTGCTACTTCTGTAATGATGTTACTGCACCAGGGAATGTAAGTTGAATGATTCTCTGGCCATGTTAACACATTTGTGTCTTAATATTTGCAAGTTAATCATATGAATCTGTTTTATGTAACTCACCTGATGTGAGAGGTGTGGTCATGACTAAATTAATCATAATATCTTCTAACATAAATGCTACTTAAAAGACATGTTTACATCAGAATTAAATAATAAAAATAAACATGAAATGTATTGTGAATCTTTTGTATAACACAGAAAACTGAAGTTCATGGCAAGACAAAATTGATATAGGTTCTTTACTTCATGTAGTAAATACTTGACAGTTCCACTAGACAATCCATACTCCTGTCTCTCACTTTGACACTTACAAATTGAGAACTCTCTGAAGGAGAGTAAAATTAAAGTGTGTATATGAAACCTAGTTTATTTTATTATGAATTTCTCTGTTTGCTCTAAAGTAGAACCAAACACATTATTGAAATGTGGCATTCCTTATGTGAAATTGACAGAAACTTGAAAATAATGATTATGAAATCGAAATGCTGTCATGGAGCCTTGTTTAGTTCATGGTGAGTTTGACCACCATATTTACTTGCATAGTTTATATATTCTTTCACCCCCAAAACCTTGTCAGAAAGTTTTGATGTTTAAAATATGTGGATACTACTTGTAAAAGGAGCTGGGATAGTTCATATTGTTATAGGAATCCACTATAAACTGGATGGCCAGGGTTTATTTCCTGATTCCACAGCATCCAGACAGGCTCTGAGGTCCACCCAGCCTCCTATCCAATGGGTTCCAGAAGCTCTCTTCTATGGGGTATAGCAGCCAGGGCATGAAGCTGACCACTCACCTCCAGCTAGTGCCAAGTTCAAGAATGGTGGAACTGTATACTCACTCCCCTGTATGTTTTCATAGTGTGGTGCTTAATTAATTAAGCACAAGGAAACATATTTCATTTTAACTGCCTGTATCAGCACAACTTTGCACATTAGATTGAAGCCATTACAATTGAATGTGATTGGGTAACATAGTATGAACATATTTTCCTACAGATTCTATCACATGATTCTTTGGTGAACATTTGGACAAAAATTCCCTTTGCTGAAATTTCAAGTAGTGCATATTTTCCCAAAACTAATTACACTTACCTTTTCAAGTTGCGGTACTGCTATGTTTTACTGAGATGGTATTCTTTTTTAAGATGGTTATTTAACCCTTTTGCTGCATATTTTCTCACCATTTTCCTAAAATAATACAGTTTTAAGGTAAAATATTAAAAAATGGAATAATGTATTTTCATAGCCCAGTGAATGAAGTTAAATAATGTAGCAAAAGAAATGTTGGTTTTTTGATGTGAACTATAGTTTAATGTTGCACTGTACAATAATGGATGCTTGTTCAACTTCTGTCGGATATCTTAGCAGTAGGGTTAACAATGCTGTCAGTATTATGGCTGTAAAGTGTTGATGAGAGGATGATTAATGAATGTTGAGTAGTTGAATGAGAATTGATGGTTGTGTTCAGTGTAAAGACAGTGTTTAGAGTTCTCTAATGGTAGATTTATTTTTAGATTTTATTAATGTAAGATGGGTCAGCAGCTGTTTTGTAAGAGCAAACCACACTGTAAAAAGTGACGGAGAAGTGGGCCATGTAAATTTCTACACTTACTTGAAAGCAGCAAAATCACTCAAATATATTATGGCCCTATTTATCCATTTTTAGCATACTGTTCTTATTTTGAAAACAAGAAGTTCTGGGAAGAGCTGATCGCCTACTTTCCTTTGATACAACATGGATCTACAGAAAATGATAACCCCAGCAATTTCTTGTTGGTTTTGGAACATGTTTTCTAGCCATTGCTTAGCCATGATAGGGGGATACACAGACAGACCGAGAGACTTGGAATTACTGGGTTTTTGGACTTTTCCATCATCCAGATGTCTTAAAAACTAGAGAACAAAATGACCAGTGGTTGAGGTTAACTCTTTCTAAGGGACCCAATAGATCAGGTGTCTCTCTCTTCACGTGAGGATGGAAACAGATCCAGTTTCTGAAACGTTGTGTTCTGTAGTTTTTTTAAGGATACCGGATGATGGGCAAAGTCCAAAAACCCACTAATTCCGAGTGTTATACACCGTTATCAGAACCATTTAGAATCCACAGAATCACCTTTGATACAGCATGAACCACATAGAAAATGACATGTCCAACAGTTTTTCTATTATTGCTTTTTTATTTCTTGCCATAGTAACATTTTTATCTAGTTGTTATCTAGCAATGACAAGGGTACATATACAGACACACAGACTAATAGAACGGATATGTGAAGTATGATGTTTAGATGGGCTCAGGTGTCATGATATACATGCAAAGTTTTATAAAGAGTGGTGCAGCCGTTCAAAAGTTGATAGGGGAGGAATACATAGAAACATAGGCAGAATGGTGATTGCACTAGCCTGCTTTTATTTTTTCAAAATAAGGAAAGTAGGCTAAAAATATATATAGGCTTATAAGATCACCTTTTTGTCTATGTGTGTCTGTATGTGTACCCTTATAACAACTTCTGAATGTGTGAATCAGTCTTTATGAAACTTGGTGTGTACATCATGCCACTTGTCATCTACCCTGAAGAGGGAGGTGATATGTTCCTCCAATATGTCGGTTAACACAATATGTACACGGTGCCACATCAGAGAAGATTGCTTTCTTCATAGTCACCGCCGTGAAAACCTCAAATCTTATGCATTGCTGTTTGTTCACAGTCCCAGAGGGACAGAACTTTAGACCAACAGTGCACAGTTACGAGGCCTGGAATTTCTGCAGTAGCTGGTGCGCTGGCAGTAGAACTTATGGTGTCTCTTCTGCAACATCCTCTCAGGTAATATATTTTTAATCTGCTTGCACTGTTTTATAAGGCATCGTGATGTTCATTGGATCTTCCCCCCAGAAAGCTCGAAAATTTTTCGTGAAACTTAGTATGAATGTCATACCACTAAATGCAACCCCAGCTTTGTACTTTCTAACTTTGTACCATCAGTAAGGATTCGGGTAGCAGGGATATCTCAATAAGTATAATGACAGGCTACATGATTGATGGCTGAGGTTGGATTGCTGGCAGAGGAAAGAGATTTTTCTCTGCTTCACAGTGTTCAGACTGGTTCTGGCTCTGAGCCCCACCCATTGGATACTGGGTACTTTTCCCAGGGGTAAAGCAGCCGGAGCATGAAGCTGAACATTGACACCCATCTAGTGCCAAGGTCAAGAATGGTGTTGCTCTACCTCCAGTGCCAGATACGTCTTTATGGCCTGGTGCTTAAGTAATTAACCAAAGGAACAACTTTACCTTTACCAGTAATGATAGGACAGTGATCAAGCTGTGGGCTAGATAACTGAAAAATCTGGGTTCAATTCGTGACAAGGGTAAGAGATATTTCTTTCATCCACTTCATCTAGATTTGTTTTGGGACCCACCCAACCTCTTGTCCAGCTAGTACCAGGGGTCTTTCCGTAGGGTTAAAACAGCTGGGGTATGAAACTGACTACTCACCTCCATTTACTACCGGGTTAAGAATTTGTAAAGCTGTACCTTTACTCACCATGTGTCTTATTCATAGTGTGGTGCTTCATTGAGCATAGAGACTTTACCTTACCATCAGTAATGCTAATTTAGTGGCCATGGAGATTTATGAAGTGAGAGTGACACTTGCTGTGCTCATTGTACGAATTTTGTGTGGTGATAGATCTTCAGATAGAATGCAGATTTTGTTAAAGACTGTTGGTTGGAGAAAGTAAAACAGTGTAGCAGACATGCCCCCCCACAAACACACACAAAATGCAAACCCTTACAAAAAGCGTGCCGTTTTAATAATATTTTAAGAGAATAACTGGTGTAAGTTTTACACATACAGCCCTTACAGGCTATGATATACGAAACATGGTGAAAGAATTTACATGGATCATGTATACCTGATGATGGCCTATGTATGGCTGAAACATGTCATTTATTTCATAAAAAGACAAGGAATAGGTGTTTCAGCAAGGAACCACAGAGCAGCATTGAAGATTGTGTTGTGCATACATATCAGGTGACAGGCAGGCTCTGTTTAGCTTTTGATGTGGTTGTTCAACATGTTCTCTCACTTTGATGCTCTTAGGGTCAATCACTTATAGGTTGTGCAGTTTAATACCAGCATTCACGAAATCTATGACATATTTGTGTCTGTATGTAATATTGTAATCCACTCATCTGCTGTAAGTTGACTTTTAAGAAATAACAGTGTGTTTGTTATTTCTGTTAATTTCTTGTAAATATCACACATTTTCTTTCTCCTCTTATTGTGTCTGCAGCAGAGCAGTTGCCTGCTATGACTGCATAGCGGGTGTGTAGCTGTAATGGCACTCAGAAAGCAGTTCCTCCCAGATACAAGTTTAAAATGTTACCACTAGCCCATCCTGATCAGCACAAAAGTATTGCTTCTAAGCAAAAGTAATAAGGTAATTCCCAGCAAAGTAATATACAAGGTCCAGCAGGGAAACCTAATGTTTTTAAGTTGGCACCTGTTTGGTAGTATGTGGTGTTGGAAGAGAGGGTCTCACTGACCTTCAACAGCTCAAAATATGCCATTTCAGCAGACATGAAACAGTGGACTGTGGAACATCGTGCTTTCATCATTGAGACTCTTTTAAAACTGGTGACTGTTACCCTGACTCAGCCATGTTTCCATCTGCATTTTAATGTGGTTTGTCACAGTAGAGTTGCCAGTAGGAACACGGTTTTGTTGTGGATTGCAAACTTCAAATCAACTGGCTCAGCACTAAAGAAGAAACTGCCTGGAGTTGCACGCACCGTCCCAACACCTGAGAATGTTGAAAGTGTTAGGCGGGCAGTAGTGACTAGTCTGCATCGTTCTGCAAAGAAGCATGCCATTGCATTAGGCATTTCAGATTGGAGGGTGAAACGAATATTGCACCTTGATTTGCATTTTTATCCATACAAAATGATGGTTATGCAAGAGTTGCATCCACATGATTGGGTGAATCACATTGCTTTTGCAAAAAACATGCTTGAAATTGTGGCAGATGACGTGATCGTTGCCATGAGTGATGAGGCAGACTTCCACTTATCTGGGTGTGTTAACAAACAGAACTTCTGTTATTGATTGGACACAAATCTGCAGAGGCTTCATGAATGTCCTCATCACTCAAACTGTGTGACGGTTTGGTGCTGTGTGGGAAGCTTTAGTGTGATTTGCCCATATTATTTTGAGGAGGACAGACATATGTGACAGTAAACTCTGGTCACTATGTTTACTTGCTGCGTAATTTTCTTGCACCAGAAATTAACAGATGTGGAATTAATCAACAAACCATGTGGTTTCAACAAGATGGGGCCACTGCTCATACTGCAAGAACTTCATGTCATTTGTCAGTGCAGTGATCTTCCATTTCCTGCTCAGTCACCTGATCGAGTGTGTGTGATTATTTCCTTTTGGGTTGTCTCAAAGCAAAGGTGTTCGTACAGTTCATGAACTGAAAGTTGCAATTGAAGTTGAAATCACTGCAATACCCCCCAACATTGTAAGATACTCAATGACCAACTTCTAGATGAGACTCCAAGAATTTGTACGAAGAGATGGTAAGCATCTGGATGGCATAATTTTCAAGACAAAATGAGCTGGCAGTTATACACACAAAATGGCCTATATTATTATTTATTTTGACAAGTAAAATAAGTAAAAAATAAAAATTGGCTGCATTGCACTAATTTAGAATCCATCAGTTTTCCCTGCCAGACCCCGTATTAACGTAGTTTCATGTACTACACATGTATATAGAATTTCACAGTCCCTTTAGTCCATCATCCATACATATCCTCTGCCATCCTTTCAGAGTGTTGAAAATTTAATCTAATAATTTTCTATTGATGATGTGTCAGACTGTTACTGACTGATGATGACAGTCCTGTATTTAGATTTCAGACACAAACTAATTAATTTATATGTCGCACAGTTGTTGAAGCCTTTGGTCCTTAATCATTTGTGATTCTGTGAAATGTTGGTGTCTTAAGTATTATCTCAAAGAAGAGACTAAAGAGGTTTTCATAGCAATAACACTCTTGACTCATATGTGGTAGGTGCTCAGTTTGAATCTCGGCTGGGACGTCATGTATCCAAACTCTGGTTTTTAATAATTTTCCTCAGTCCTTTCAGGCGAATGCTGGAAGTACCTTGATTAGGTCATGACCACTTCCCTCCAAATTATCATTCATCTGTCATCCATCCGATGCTGTATAATCTAGCCACTGGAAGCATTAAACATCCAACAGATACATAAAAGTCATTTTGAAGAGACCACATAAAGTTTAATTCTTTCTGTTGTGTGCCTGTTTTATGCACAGTAATATTTTTGGTTTTACTTATACATTGTACTTAATTCTGTAAAACTGTATTGCTTATATATGGAATGTTTCAGAGGTTATGCACCTGCCAGCTGTGTAGAAGAATGCCATAGTGAAGGTGGTGAAGAAGGAAGTCCTCTGGGTCTAGTTCCACATTCTGTTCGAGGCTTTCTTGCAAAGTTCCAACAAGTGTCACTAGCCAGTCACGTGTTCTCTCAATGTATTGCATGTTCAGACAAGGTATGGTAGATATTGAGTATATTTAAATCTATGATGTGAATGTGCATTAGTGAGTCTAGATGGCATTTGGATTGGTGAATAGATTTATTAACACCTTATAGAATCAACTCATACTTACAAGCAATATGGCACTATCACTTATTTAAACAGTTGGTATAGCGACTGGCTATGAGCTGGACGACAGAGGGGTCGGAGTTCAAGTCTCAGTAGGGTCACGAATCTTCTCTTCCCATCATCCAGACCTGCTCTTGCTGCACCGAGCAACATGTCCGGTGGGTATTGGTGCAGCTTTCCCCGGGGGTAAAACGGCCGGGGCGTAAAACTGACTACTCACCTCCAACTAGCGCCGTGGTCAAGAAAATTGGGGTCTCTACATCCATTTCCACACAGGCCTTCATGGCATAATGCTTAATTAATTAAGCACAAGGACGGCTTTACAGAATGTGTAATCATCATACATTATAGTGCCAAGAGTGTATAATATTCTGAATTTCAGGATGTGATTGGATTTTCTGCTTTATTGACACCAAATAGGTTCTAAAGGATTCTGACAGTGGTGTATAATACTCAGAATTACTAGGTGTTTGGACTCTGTCCATCGTCCAGTATTCTAGAAATTAGAAAACATAATGTTTTCAGAAACTGGATCTGTTTCCATTTCCAAAACATTGTGTTTTCTAGTTTTTAGAATGCCAAACAGTAATTCTGAGTTTTACTGACACCATTTTACATAACCATCCATGCAGTGTTATCCAGCTTCATAAACTTCGCAACATGACATGATCATAATATAACATAATATAACATAATCACATATATCTGTTTTCAGTAAAGTTAACTCTAAATTTAAATTCCTGCCTTGCCAACTCAAAGCAAAATTCATGGGTAAATTACAAATATAAAAGAACTGCCCAAGAGCTGTAAAAGTATTGAAAAATTTTCCCCCACTTATATCTTGACTATGTAGTTAAATTGCCACATACTGTCAGATACAGCAGTTTCTGAAAAAGTCAGAATTTTTTATGCTTGGCACTATTAAATCAAGGATAAATCCTGGTACAATAAAAATACAGTTTACAGAGAGTCCTGTAATTAGTGTTATGCTTAGAAAAGTTCCAACCATTTTGCAGTTAGCAGTACAGTAATGTTCATTTGACTAAATTGGAGATAAAAGTTTTTAAAATTTAAACAGTGTTGAAGTGAGCTTGTTTCTCTTTCTAACATATTGAACTTCTGAAATCTGCTTGTTGAAAAATCTGTAATTTCATTATAATTATAAAACGCTGGAATGACAAAAAGATATATAATAAAAGAAAAGGTTAGTAGCTAGGGCACTTCATGGGTATGCGTAACTGTGGTGTGTGGTGTGTCATGTCTGCGCTGAATTTTTTCTTATGTCCCTATGGATATCAGGACAATACTTTAAAATATGCCACAACCACTCCTTTCTATCCCATAATCCTTATCTTAAAGTCCACATATTTTCTTTATGCCTTGAATTGAAAGTATGGGAAATGAGAAAGTCTAGAAATCAAAAAACACCTTAACCCTTTCATTGATAATGTACATTGTGGGGTATGTGTCAGATTGTATCATCATATTGTAACGGATTCTATCAGTGCATTGCTCAGCAACAGCTCAGTAGACAAACCACAACAATAGAAGGGAAACTATGTTTTCTATGCGGTCCGTGCTGAGCGAAAGAACGTTGCTAGGGAACGCAGCTGTAAACATGCATCCAGAAAAATGGAGATGGTGTTTTCTGTGAGGTCCATGCAAAGGAGATATCTTATAAACAGTCGGTGCTATGATTCGTTTCTGAGTTCTGAGTTCATCATAGAAGAGGAAAGTTCATTGACATGTGAAGATTCAAAGTGCGATCAGAAGACTTTATTCATGTGTAATATTTGGAGTGGTTTGAAGCGCTGGTTCGTGTGTTTTAGTTATGTTACCAGGAGAGAACTAGTGATTGTATAACAGTGAATTATGAAGTGTAAATCAGCAAAATCACAGTATTGACTGTAATTAAGAGAGGTTGTAATCAAGGTGCTAATAAATCCAATCGTCTGAACTGGAACCCATCATATTCGTCGCGCGTCCTACATGTGACAGCGTAACAAAAATGGCTGAAAGGGCTAGCAGCAAATACCAGTTATTCACAAATGTGTTTTTAATGAAACTGTTGTGCAGAGGGAAAATTATTTGCTAGTATATTGGGGTCCATTTGGTAGAGATGAGATCCTCTACAGACTTTGTTTAGTTGTATTCGGTCATGCTCATTTGCTTAGTTGCATTTAAGTTTCAATTTGTATGCTTCCAGGTCAATAATCTTAATGTTAAATTACCTCCATTTAAGATATTCCACAGTTTAATGTTCAGGTCTGCTGGTCCCCAAAGACACCTTACATAATGGTTTTACTGCAAATAAATTGAAACTTCTGCTGACCAGAGATGTAATTTTTAAGACAGGATTGTGGCAAACTGTTGTTCATAGTTTGCACATTTATTTATTTTCTATTTTTATGATATATTTGCTCCTTTATGGCAGGTCCTTTATGAATATGAGACCCGTGGGTTTGACTTTTTGTTGCAAGCATTCAACACCCCTGATTATTTAGAGGACATCACTGGCCTAACACAGTTACACAAAGAGATGGAAGATGCACAGGTAAGATACATGAAGACATAATGAATTACATTTTTCAGATGTTTTTATATCTCCACTCATATTCCCAGTCATTAATTCCTTTATATGTCAGTGGTTCTGAACCTTTTTTGACATACACCTTAGTCTCAGTGTGACATGTCACATACCCCCTATCAGTGGTGATTTAATCAAATCCTGTATTATCAAAAGATAAGATTCATTTTAAACAAACAAAAATAATTAGTTCAGGGACAGAAAATATTGCACAATAAGAAAATACAATTCCAAATGCCAAAACACACTAGAAACATATTAATTATTTGTGTGGACACTGCTGCCACTTACTAGCAGCAAAGATTTCTGGTTTGGGCAACATTTTCAAGGGAGCCACCTTTGTATCATGTTCAGCTTTAGTTTGTTGTTTGTGTTTAATTCACAGAGGTGGGTTGTGACAAATGGGACTAGAGTTTGATAAGCTTGAATGCTCAGAATGGAATATGCCTTACCAAGCTTCTGCAGGAGTTGATGCAGTTTGATTCATTCAGAATCAAGATCGTTTCTTATTATTATGCAGGTTAAGAAGCTCAGCTTTTCCCAGATCAGTATCACTGTTTTGTGTAAACAGTAGTCACACAAAAAGCATATATAAATATATGAATTGTAAATGTTTATATTTATATTTTTTGTGTGACTCCTGTTTACACAAAACAGTAGTCACACAAAAAGCATATATAAATATATGAATTGTAAACAGAAACTGTTACACAAAACAGTAGTCACACAAAAAGCATATATAAATATATGAATTGTAAACAGAAACTGTTACACTGCAACAGTAACATAAAAATCACTGAACTGCTGTAGATAAACTGTAAAGGGCTCCTTACCTAAATGTCTACTGCCAGTCTCAAAAGTAATTCCTTCGATCATGGTTTCAGATTTTCTGGGAACTTAATAACACTGTCACAAACTCTTGTTTCCACTGGATGTACATAATCTAGAGTTATATTATCAAAGAGGAAGATATATAAAGCTTCCAGATTTCACTTATCTTCCCCAGACATCTGACTTGGTATGTACGAGGGGGTACCCAAAAGAAACCGAACTTATTTTTTTTTAACTTATTTATTCAAATTTTAAGCACAAACCTTCAATCCCCTTCAAAGTACTCTCCACTTATACTAAAACACTTGTCTAGTCTTTTATTCCATTTTTCAAAACATTGTCTAAATTCATCTTTTGAGATGCTTGACAGCGCCTCCGTCGTTTTTTCCTTTCATGTCTCTTTTCATTCGAGGAAACAAAAAAAAAGTCGCACGGGGCAAGGTCGGGTGAGTATGGAGGGTGAGGAACAGGGGTCATACCATTTTTGGTCAAGAATTGTCGTACACAGGGCTGTGTGAGCAGGGGCATTGTCATGATAGAAAAACCAGTCACCCGACTGCCACAAATCTGGCCGCTGAGCTCCAAGTCACTCCCGACAGCTCCACAATTTCTTCAGTGGTCCGTTATCGATCTTCCTTGATGATTTCACGAATTTTTTCAACATTTTCATGTGTTCAGGCCGTGGAAGGACGACCAGAACGAGGTTTGTCATCAATTGACATTTCACCATTTTTGAAACGGGAAAACCACTCAAACACTTGAGTTTTCCCCATAGCATCGTCCTTGTACACCGTTTTTAACATTTCAAGAGTTTCTGTTCCACTTTTCCCGAGCAAAAAGCAGAATTTCACCGCCGCACGCTGTTCAGGAAAATCAGCCATTGCAAAAACGGCGATCACACAAAACAGTTGTCGCTATAAACTCTGCCGAAACTAGTCCTTACCTTCTGAAGCAACGGTAGTCGGATTATCGACTCAGGAATGTTAGCTCTATGCGCTGATAGCGGCAAAACGCGGTACTACAAAAGCTCTGCCCACAAAAAAATTAGTTCGGTTTCTTTTGGGTACCCTATCGTATGTGTAATGTTATCTGAGGTCATCTCAACTTCATCATAAATCCTTCCCGTCAGTAATACCAAAACTGCAACCACTCAGATTGTCATAATAATGACCTTAATATTACCTGAGTGCCCAAACCAATCTTCATACTTCATGCTATCTGAGGCCATCTCCTCGGTCACTCCCATCAGTAATACCAAAATTGTAATGTATTGTATTCCAAATTGTATTGTTTTACTGACTTTGTTACTCATAAAGTGCCAACTTTTGCGGATAGAGGGTGTCATGTGGTCAGCGCAATGAATCCCCACAGCCGTTAATCTCGGTTTTCTAGACTGGAGCCTCTATTTCCTTGAAATAACTCCTCAATTATCATCACGAGGCTGAACGGACCCCGTTCCAGACTCACTACTTCTCAGAAAAAATCTGGTAGAACTGGGAATTGATCCTTGACCTCTGGATCTGTAGCCAGGAATGCTGACCACTAGACCACAGAAGGTACTAAACTTCGCCGACAAGTGGCGGTCACTCGGCCGATATAGTTTGCTTGGGGACTAAAATCATGGAGTTTTTGTTTTGTTTGTTACTCATAAAGTTTTCTTTCTTCTTGTCATATCAGATACTCAAACTATAGTGAAAGGTAAATAGGAATCTAGTTCTTCCCAGAACTCATTGTTATATATCACTGTTAGATATACCACATTATTGCTGTCAGTATTGCAAATGATATATTTCCAGTACATGCAAGTATTCTTGATTTGTATGAAATTCTCAAACATACCCCCTGGCAATCCATGGACCCACAGTTCAGAATCCCTGACTTAACTGTTCTTTTCCTCTGTTAGATCTGGGAGCTCAGTGATTCTGAAAGCTGTGACTTGGAATGAAGAAGGACTACATGGAAAATTATTTGTAAGCATATTTAGAGTAAATGCTGCTGAATTGTTTTAAGGTAATTATGTTGTTATAGAAATGCTTTTCTCTCTTTCCATTGTTTGTTGCATGGTACATCTGGTGGAAAGATGGTTGACAGCAACAACAATGATGGTGACAGGAATGAAGATGATGATGGTGATGATGATGTTGATCACCATCATTGTTGTTGTTGTCGTCGTCACCACCGCTTCAGTTCTGTATTTATTTAAGTGCTGACTCAACAGCCTAGTGGCCAGTTAGTCATCATAAGTGCAAAAAGAACATAAAAGGAAAGTAAAATATCAGTTGCTGGTCTTTGAGTTCTGCTCTGCGTATCCAAGATTTTCTGTGTTAGTGACATGAAGATAGCTAACAGATCCTTTGAAAATGTGGCACATTTCAGATATTTGGGAATGAGAGTAACAAATCAAAATTTGATTCAGGAGGAAATTAAGAGGTGATTGAACTTGAGTAATGCTTGCTACCATTCAGTCCAGAAGCTTTTGTCTACTTGTCTGCTGTCTAAAAGCATAAAAATTGGAATATAAAGAACAACATTTTTTCCATGGTTCTGTATGGGTGTGAAGGTCTCTGACATTAAGGGAGGAGTGTAGACTGAGGGAGTTTGAGAACAGGCTGCTGAGGAGAATATTTGGACCTAAGAGAGATGACGTGATGGGAGGCTGTAGAAAACTGCATAATGAGGAGCTTCATAACTTGTAATCAAACCAAGTATAATTAGAACGGTTAGGTCAAGGAGGATGAAATGGGCAGGGCATTTAGCATGAATGGAGGAGAAGAGGAATGTGTACAGAATATTGGTGGGAAAGCCAGAAAGGAAGAGATGACTAGGAAGACAAAGATATAGGTGGGTGGATAATATTAAAATGGATCTTAGGATCTTAGAGAGATAGGATGGTGTGATATTGACTGGATTGATGTGTCTCAGGATAGGGACCAGTGGAGGTCTCTTGTGACCACAGTAATGAACCTTTGATTCCATATATTGGTGGGAAGTTCTTAAGTAGCTACACAATTGGCAGCCTCTCAAGAAGGGCTCAGCTCCATGAAGTTAGTAGCCTCAGTGACTACCGACATGAGAAAGCGTTTCATATTCAACATTCTCTGAATTTCTATGCTGTAGATTTCATGTTTTAATTATTTTCAGGCTTATTTTGTTATTACTTTCTTGTATGAGGACATTGCTGCAAATCTTGCCTTCCATGTTTTTAATTGTTGCTAACAACAACAACAACAACAGCAAATATTATTGTCACGTGTAGGATGGTATGTGTCACGAAATGACGGGTTCTAGTTTGGATGATTGGATTTATTAACAGCTTGGTTACATGCAGTCTCTCAATTACACTCAACTTACAGCTCGGTCGCTGACTTACATACACCAGATCTTCTAATCCACTGTTGCACGCACCATCGCACATATGAAGTCTTCTAAATCACGCTTGGCATTCTTGGTTCCATTGCACCTGCTTCCACTGCTCTCAACTGCTCCATACTCGTAACTCGTAACTTCAACTTCAACTGATTACTCAACACTGACAAGTACTCTCATTATGTAGCTTCTGCCCTGACCACACAGAAAACGTGTTTACTGATTGCCTAGCAACAGTTGCTGCACGGACTCCCTTGTTGTGTGATGTCACAGCCTAGTGGGAAGGGGTGTTTACCGAGCGTTGTTACACAATGAACTCTTGTTGCTGTGGATTTTTGTATGCAATGGTCTCAACAGTTTCCATTGTTTCATTGCTCAGCGATGGACGACATACACGTAACACGTTACAATATATATAAAAATACAGTAATGGTCACACACACACACCAAATAGGAGACAGTTTATGATTGACAATATGTGTGATACCTTATGTGCTTACAGAACATGCAGTTGTCCTATGTCTGATAGGCAGATAGGCAGTGTCAGTTTTCTGAAGGTCTTGGCATGTATTTACTGTATTTTCTGGCCCATAAGACCCACTCTTCCCTGGAAAATGCAGCCTAAATTTCCCCTGAAGGTACAGCAGAAATCCCCCCCACCTTTCATCCTCTAAAACTTAGCTGCATCTTATGGTGTGGAAAATACGGTAAATCTAGGATAATAAAAGAAATTGGAAATGAGGGTAGAAAGTTCAGAGAGCAAGGAGCCTTTTCCAACACTGTCAGATGAATACAAAAGACTTGTTTTTCATTTCCAGGTAGCCAGCATCACATCAGAAACAGGTCTGCAAACACTAAGAATTCATAGGAAGTTCATATGGCACGATTCAAGGCAGCTTGTTGCATTAAAGACTTCAGTTTAGTTAACCCGTTGCCGTGGTTCGTCGTGTATGTTTCGTCAGGGATTTAAATCGTCTGGGGGGGTTCGGCGTGTATGTTTCGTCCAGCTGCACACCTATGTTATAACGCCCATAATAATTGATGGTTTTGCTGTAGATTGTTGGATTTTTCGCTGGCCTGTTGTCACAAGAACAGAGTATACTAAGCCAACGAGTTTAGCTGAGATAAGTCATCGTTACATATGCCTGTCTTGCAGCAAATTCGTGTTGCTTCTTGTAGCGGTTTCGTCACTCAATGGCGTATTTGCTTTGCTTGTGAAGTAATAAACACCAGAGAGGTGATGTGTGCTGTTGTATATAATATCATATTGCCCTGAGCTGGCCACACAAACACATTCCATTGGAATTCTTAGAAGAGGGTTGTCCAAAATGTTATTCTCGTAAAATCGATTGCTTTCGCACAGTACATAGCACCCATTTCTTAGAAATACGCCACAATTTAAGGCAGAACACTGTGGTCACCCCCTGAGACGATACGGATGTGTGTGGGGGAGGGAAAAGTACTCATTATCGCTCCAGTTGACGCCATTTTATCGTACTGACCTTGGTGGTCGTTTCGAGAGCCAGCTCTGTGTTTAGACTAATGCTTCAAGGCGTCACCTGCTTACATAGCCGAGATACCGGGTGCTCATATTATAAGGCAAGGTTATAAAACCAACTTTTAAGATCATTTTAGTGAAAGTTTCATCCTTCAAGGCGTACCATTCTCTGCTCAAATACTAAATAACCTGCTTCCATTGAAGATATAAAGGGGGTTCATATTATAAGGTAAGGTTATAAAACCACCTTTTAAGATCATTTTAGTGAAAGTTTCATGTTCCTATCTCATAGAATTTAAGAACAATGATGAATAAATAATTTTCGAGCAAAATTTAAATGGCCGGCTGAATATATTACCGCAGGAGCCGCGGCCGCGGAATTTAAATGACCACGTCAAAAGGTTAAACTCATGACAACTGTACACAATCTGTACTGCCATCTATTGTGATTTGCTGCACTAGGCTTATTGCAACATCGTGTCTAATCATGTACATATATCCTGATCTTTACTATTCCATTGGGTGAGCTATATAACAGTGGTAGTTCATATAGATGTTATTGAGAGTTGAAACTTACTATAATACAGTGTACAGTTTAAAAATAGACTGCCTGCATAATTACTTACAACAAATTTACAAGCAGTTACCTGTATATACCTTATTACTTCAAATATAAGACACCCTGGAATTTAAGATGCATCCAATTTCTGAATGTGGGTTTCAGAAAAATGATTAGAGAGGGGCACATTCCTCTAATTTAAGATGCATCTCAGGTTTTCAATGGGAAAAGCATAAAATGTGTGTCTTATATTCAGAGCAATATGATATTATGTATTGAGCCTTGCAATGAACGTATGCATAAGTAATTATGGTTGCACAGTACAGTATATATTTAGCATGCATATTTTGGCCTGAAGATGGTCTCCATGACTGAAACATGTAACAATTAAATAAATATATAATATACCATTATATATATATTATATATTGTATATATCATCGTCATTAGGTGAAACTTCATAATTATAGTGATAAAACATGTTTGAGTTACAGCTTTGTTAAATGAAAGATAAATGGCGCTATTAAGTTCGCTCACATTAATCTGTTACAAGTGTGAGAAATTACATGTAAACCTTAGTGTTCTACCACAAATGGAGGTTATTGCAGCTACATGTTGTATCAGCAACTGCATCATGTAATTTTAAATTATTAGATGACTTCATAAGATTTGAGATATTAATGGCAGTGTGCTGATTCTAATCATCTGGATTATGACACTATCCATAAGTGGATACGAACCTTTTTAAGAAATATACTGTCACCATCTTCAGGGTTGAAGTTAATATGGTGAGGAGGTTATCAAGTAACATAGCCAGGTTGCATAAGAGATAATCACTCAGATCCACGTGAGGATGAGAGAAGATAGTTATGTTATATTATATTTTAGCATTCTGTTGCATTGAGGCATTATCCTTATTATCAAAGTACACGTCAATAATGCAACAATATAAAAGACGTTAGGAATATGTTTCACACTAAAAATGTATTTTAATACTTTTTTATGTTGTTAAAATCATTACATGTCAATAGGACACTATAAGTACATTTTATACATTAAAAGTGATTATCCAGTTTTCTAAAATGTCTCTAGTGTAGTAAACTAGAAGAAATATATGACTAGAGACATTTTAGAAAATTGGATGATCACTTTTAATGTATAAAATATACTTATAGTGTCCTATTGACATGTAATGATTTTAACAACATCAACAAGTATTAGAATACATTTTTAGTGTGAAACATATTCCTAATGTCTTTTATATTGAAGCATTATTGACGGATATTTTGATAATAAGGAGAGAAGATAGATGTCATTCATGCCCAGTAGGAACAGTGAACAGATGACTGTTAGAGAATAACTCTTTTTAAGACCACTGCAGACAATAAAAAATGAAGTGAGAAACTGGATCTTTGAGGGTCCAGAAGATTATCACAGGAAGAGCATAAAATTATAAGAAAACAGCTTTTTTTGAGAACCCAGGGAGATGCATCTCATATCAGGAGAAGGTGATTTTCTTGGCCTAGGAAAGTACCTTCTTTTATTCCTTCATGGAGTGGAGGACCTGTTTAGGGAGAACTGTTCTGTCTGTTAATGTTACTGGGTGGAGCTTGATTTCGCTTGCTGCTCTTACAGTTTTGTCTCTATGCCTGGACCTCTTAGCGAGGATGCTGTGTTATTGAACAGGATGTAAATGCCCAGCACTGAGTAGCACTCTGTTCCTCTCTGACGAATAGTCAAATGTACATCAGCAAGGTGCCATCCAGGTATGACAACATGACGGTAGGAATTTCACTAAGAAAGTCTCCACCGTCCTTTGTTCGTGTAAAGGATTACTAGGGGCCTGAAAACCACACATATCTTACATCATCTGTGAGTGTGGGAAGGCTTACATTGGAGAAACCAGTTGCTGTATGAATCCATGGTAATGAACTCTTCCTAGGCCTGTAAAAAGGGCAGCTTTCTCAGCTTCCTGGTTCCTGTCTGTATTGGTTCTGAAAAAAGAGGTGTTTTATCACGTTCCTCCTGTGACGACATTATTCATGGTTATTTTTATCACTTCATAGTTTACTGCCTCTTTTTGTCTTCCCTAAAAATTGGTTTCTGTCACACACATCCCTATCCATTGTTTCTGTTGGCCTGGACAAGGCTGTACTTCCTCTTCCCCTCCTGTGGGTCTGAGTGCATGCATGGATCATAGTATGTGACCTGACCACATCCTCATGCTACTCACTTTGACCCAACATGTGGATGCTGCATGTTCACCCCAAATGTCTGTATCCATGTAAGAAATTACATGGTGTGAAAACCCAGTCTGCACAGATACCTTCGTCTCCATGAATCTGTATAGTAGACTCTCAGTTATCTATATGCAGATTAGGCGGGGGACATTCTGTAACACTGTAATTTCCCATAATGATTTAGGTTTTGACCATTACATCTGTGTTACTAAAATGTATCAGTGCTGTTTTACAACAATTTTGAGTAGACTTATATCTTATCACCCTGTTTCAACCTCCTGTGTCATTATTTTATTACTTCTGTGGCCCACTGTTATTGCTGAACCAAGGTGGAAATCTTCTAATGGTAAGATATTTGCCTTGCTGCTAGTGACCAGTAAGTACTAATTGATGTTCAGGGTTGAAATAATCTTCCAAATTTTTGGATTATCCATTGCTTTTAATTAGTTACACAACTCCTTACCTCCTGTACTCTACATAATCATGCATTTATTGTACTTATAAAACATTTGTAGAGGCTGACCTTACTGTACTTCTTTTGAATATAATATATATTGTTAACAATTTCAAAATGCCTTAGCACTGTATGGGAACAGTGACATTTTAATTTTTGCCAAACCGATGCTGAAGCTTACAGCAGGTTAAGGGCTCTTAACTGAACCATGGAATTAAAACTGTATGTGAAGCTGTAGGAATCCATTATTCTGTAGGCTTGGCTTCTCCTATATTCCCAGTTGACATGAATACAAAATAAGCCAGTCAGAAGACTGAGGGAGCAACAAAGGGGCCGAAATCTGGCCACAGAGCACTGCCAGAAGCCAAAGGAATGAACCTGGCTAAATTGTGGATCCAGAGGAAACTGGCCACCATCGGCATGAAGATGACAAGCTGTGCAAAAGTGGCACAGCAAATGGAAACATTAGTGGGAAAAACAGGACCGGGGACATGGCATGAGGAACCTTGAAAAAACAGACATTTGGAAGGAGGCACCAGCCGAAACCAGAACGCAAATATGCTATAAGGAACAGACGCCTAAGATAGCAGCTACAAAGCTAGAGGGTATTCACTGAGCCCTACAGGACTACTGAATTGGAGATTGTAACGTGAATTGCCAGCTCTACTGTTGTGCTGTGAAAGATCAAGGGTTGGACCTCATGAAGAGGTCAGCCCCTCCAAAATGGAAAAAGAGGCTGCACAAGGAGTAACAGCCAGAAATGTGGGACTACTGGTCACTCTGGATAGTTTCACCCCCATTGTTGGAATGAAGGATTACAGAAAAGTGGTCATGTTTGTACACCTGACCGGAACCTTAGCAGGGAGTCATTTGGGATGAGCGCGCTTAAGGAAGGAGCAGTGGTAATGACTGAAGAGAGTAGTCACCACAAGAGGGACCAAGACACAGGAGATCACAAGCAGAAACCTCGGTAAAGAAGGACTGGCAGAATGGTTGCACACTGATAAGCTATTTAGGACAAGCAGCCTTAAGGTGGGATCAGTACGACACATTACTAGGTAATGGTTAACTAGCCGTCACGACAAGGACTGTAACAGATCCAGCAACATCAGAGGACGCGGAAGAACAGCGAGACCTCCAAAAAGTGAAAAGTGCAATCAATATAGTAAAATTGAACTTTTAACCTATAATATAATTGAACTATTTAAAGTGAACTTGACGCAGTGATGAGAGTAAGTAGGAAGTGATTGAATAACAAGTGAAAGTGAAAGCATAAGCAGTGATCTGAATTGAAATTCGATTAACAAATTTTAACTTTTGACATTTAGAATAATATTTTAACTTGTGTTTTGTGAGAGGAGCTTGATATATTATTGAGCATGGGCCTGAATAAGATACAGGATCGAATAAGTGAGAAGACAAATGTGATTGCGTGTAATTATACAGCTGTGTTCGTACACCTGAGAATGACCTCTTGAGGTCGAAACATGTAGTGTGATAGTAATAAAAAAAATATGTTGTGTGGTCGGTAAAATTGACTCGAATAATGAAGCACAAATGTCATTTCTTCATACAAAGTCTGTGATGATCTCTACAGATGGCATACTGTACACCAATTTACTACTTAGCTGGCTTTCCAGTTTGCATCATTTAATTTTCATCTTCTTACTGTATTGGTGGCATATCTCACTGCAGTAATTTTCGCGGAATATATTTTGTGATCAGTTAGTTTCTATACTGGCCATATTATGACAGTTTTATAATTCAGGAAAAGAAGAACTCTGCTAGAGAGAACAGCAACAGAAATCTACAAAAGCATTAACATTTGCTTCAAAAGGGAAACAGTTATCAGAACTCAATATCTGATTCTTTTTCCAAATTCAGAGGTGGCATTAATTAAAGTTGCCATGAAAGCAGATGCATCATTAGCTGTAATGAGTCAAATGAAGTGAGTAGCCGGCCGGCATCGTACAACATTATCTCACTGATAGATGGCAGCACCATTCGGCTAACGGGTCCACGAGGTTCACGAGCCGAAGCTAGCGAGCTATGGCGCTGCTCTGCCAGTGTCTTTGAACAGAATCCACGTTTTCGCGCATAATATTACAGACGTTACAGATGTATGTATGAGTGTTGGAAGTATAGATGTGGTTCGTTGAGGTCGGTGTAGTGTTTGTGGCGGAAGGCGTGGGTTCTTTGTATGGGCAGTATTATCTTGTTTAGATAGTGCGTAATCTTCTTTGTTAAGTTCTTTATACTGTGTATGTGCAAGTCTGCTCTGTCGTGTTGAATTTTTTAAGTAAAGGAAGTTGTGCACCGTATTTGGCGTTTGATACTAAGTGTTAAAGGACGTAGTTATTACAAAGGTAAGTAAATTATGAGAGGATTTAAAATTTCAGTAAAAAATAGTAGAGTTTTTCGAATTAAAGCAGCACTAAGTCATGGTTGGATGAAGTATATTCAAAACTGAGATGAAAGGAAGCGAATCGAACATGTTAGGACTTGAATGTGGTAGACAGTTCAGGAGCAAAAAGAAGCAGTATCGAAAATTAAGGACAGGAAAATTGTACTTGCATTATTACTTTTTTTTTATTGCTAGTGGGTTGGGACTAAGTCCCTTGTACTGCGGCCACTTCTAGTCTATTGTACCAGCCCCAGATGATAGGTGAGGGTGATTGTGGAGCAATTTGTGGAATGAAGATTCACAGGGGAAACCGAAGTACTCGGAGAAAACCTGCCCCAGCGCCACTTTGTCTACCACAAATCCCACTTGACCAGACACGGGATCGAACCCGGACCGCCGCAGTGGGAAGCCAGCGACAAAGCGCGGCCTCTGCATACATACATACATACCTACTCATGGAGCTGAGCCCTTCTGGAGGAGCTGCCAATTCTGCAACTAGAATTTCTCAGTATTACACCCAAAGGTTCATTACCGTGTTCACAAGAGCCCTCCATTGGTCCCTATCCTGAGACACAGCAATCCAATTAATTCCATCGCATCCTGTCTCTCTAGATCCATTTTAATATTGTCCACCCACCTACGCCTTGGTCTTCCCAAGGGTCTCTTTCCTTCTGCTTTTCCCACCAATGTCCTCTACACATTCCCTGTCGCTCCCATTCATGCTACATGCCCTGCCCACCCCATCCTCCTTGACTTGATCATGCTAATTATACTTGGAGATGAATACAAGTTATGAAGCTCCTCATTATGCCAGGTTTTCCAACCTCTTGTCACTTCATCTCTCTTCAGTCCAAATATTCTCAACACCCTGTTCTCAAACACCCTCAGTCTATGTTCCTCCATTAATGTAAGAGACCAAGTTTCACACCCATACAGAACCACCAGCAAAATTATAGTTTTGTATATTCTAATTTTTATGTTTTTTGACAGCAGACGAGAAGACAAAAGGTTCTGGACTGAATGGTAGCAAGCATTACCTGAGTACAATCTCCTCTTAATTTCCTCCTGAATCAGGTTTCGATCTGTTATCGTTGTTCCCAAATATCTGAATTGTGCCACATTTTCAAAACATCTGTTTTCTATCTTAATATCATGATTTTGCCCTGCATTTTGGTGATGAGACAGCAACATATACTTAGTTTTCTCAGTGTTTACTTCTAGACCAACCTCTTTACTTGCATTTGTTTGTTTTTCTTTATGGTATCTACATTATCACCCAGTAGATTCCCATCATTGGCATAGGTGAACAACTGAAATAGAGAAATAAATAGAGAAATAGGATGGGGTGATATGGATGGGATTTATCTGGCTCAGGATAGATAATAGTGGGTTCATCTAAACACAGCAATCAACCTTTAGGTTCCATAAAGTGCTGGGAAATCCTTGAGTAGCTTAATGACTGGTGGCTTCTGAAGGACTTTTCTCCATGGAGTTAATTAGTTAAAGGGGTATGGTTTTGCATAATCAGAAATGATTGTTTTAATATTGTGGTATGTACAGGTTGGTGCTCAGAAACTTCCTTTTTTTTTGAAGGCGAATAAAAGAAAAATTATTGCTGATAGACAAAATTTATGTATAGCTAGTGAAAGAACATACTTTAAAGTTTTAAATCATGTAGTTTTGAACAAAATATCTTGGAGGTGGTGGCCACTGTTCTCTATGCACTGATGCAACCGTTTTCTGAAGTTCCCCTCTGCATGTTCCAAAATGTGCACCAGAATTTGAACTACTTCCTGCCTAATAACATTCTTCAGCTGAAGCAGGTTTGTGGAGCGATGTTTAAACCCTCTGCCTTGTGGTATCTCCATAAAAAAAAATCACAGGGCGTTAGATCAGGTGAGTGCACTGCCCACAGGATGTCACCTCGAAGCGAGGTGAGCCGTCTGGGGAACTTTGCCCTCAAAACTGTCATCGAAGCTCGGGCTGTGTGGGCCATGGCACCATCCTGTTGGAACCAGACATTTCCTAGATGCGTTTCTTCAAGAGGTGGTTCGAAAAAGATCTCAAAATCGACTGTCGAACTGCCTCCACATTTTCTGGCGTCGTAATGGTCCATTGTCGTCCTGATGATTTTTTCACCACACTTCCGGTTGTCCTAAAGTTCTCCACCCACAAAACAATCAATTTACGGTTGGGAACCAGACCTCTGGGCTTAATTCTGAAGTGAGTACGGAACACACTCTGCGTCGCCACGTAGGATTGGTTGTTCGAAAAATAGGCTTCGATAGCAAACACACACTGCTCACTCGTCCACCTCATGTTTTCTACTGAGGGGTATTAGACAGAAACTTCTGTGACTGCTGCGTTTGCCGAGCCTATCCCCAATTTTCTGCCACCTCCCCTCCCTTCACAGTGCATCTTCACAAAAAGGAAGTTTCTGCGCCGCACCCTGTATAATGATGCCTCCCCCCTAACTATGTTAAGCTGCCACATGTTCCCACAGTTCAGTTATTACCTTGCAAACTTAATTAGATGTCTACTACTGTGTATGTGCTCAAAAATTCAGCACTTCTTAACTTGTATGTGGTTTGAGAAAGAAAGACCAGTTTTTAAGAGACTGGATAATATTCTACCTCTTCCATGTGTAGCTGTTCCTTGGCCTGCAGTGACAACAGCTCTTATGTAGCTATACTTTTCCTTTGGAATGTTGAGTTCGGCACATGGAAGGGACCGTGTTGCACTCCAGCTGCACCAGATCTTCACTGGGCTGCTGACTGCTTCCCCTCCAGTAATTGCAGATCTTTCATCCATTTGTCTTTACACTTACCACCTTCCCTTTGTTCGTGTGAGGCAGTATGTTAGTAGTACTGGTACTGGGTGCCAGTAAGCATAGAGTAGGGTTGCTTACAATTAGAGGTGGTGATTGGAGGTAACTTGCTCTGTTCAGGATTTGGTAGGATCGAGATCATGTTCTGGGACTTAACAGGCATTTCTCCAGTGGGCAGGAAGAAAACAGCAGACATTTCAGGAATAAAATGAGAGAATATCTGAAGGACACGATTCATGAGCTTGCAATGAATGGTAAGAACAAGAACATTAGAGACCTGTATAGAAGAATAAATGACTTTAAAGAGGGGTTGCCAACCTAGAAGTAACATAGTGAAGAATGAGAATGGTGATCTGCTTGCAGATTCCCACAACATTTTGAATATGTGGAAGAACTGCTTCTCTCAGTTATGGAATGTACATAAGGTCAGTGATTTTAGGCAGATAGAAATGCACGCAGCTGAGTCATTAATACCTGATTCCAGCCCTTTTGAGGTTGAAATTGCTATTGCAAAATTGAAGAGGTATAAATCGCCAGGTAGTGATCAGATTCTGGCGGAACTTGTTCAAGCAGTAGGCTAAATATTACATTCTAAGATCCATAAGCTAATTACTTCAATTTAGCATAAGGAAAAATTGACTGATCAGTGGAAGGAATCTATTATTGTACCAGTTCACAAGAAGGGTGATAAAACTGACTGTAGTAATTATCGGGGGATATCACTGCTATCAGCTTCATACAAAATTTTATCCAATATTCTTCTCTCAAGGTTAAGTCCATATATATATGAAATTGTGGATCATCAGTGTGGGTTTCGTCATAACAGATCAGCTATAGATCAGATCTTTTGCATTCATCAGATATTGGAAAAAAAATGGGAGTATGATGAGGCAGTGCATCAACTATTCATAGACTTCAAGAAAGGCTATGATTCAGTTAGGAGGGAAGTATTGTACAATATTTTGATAGTGTTTGGGATACCTATGAAACTAGTTAGGCTGATTAAAGTGTGTTTAAATGAAACGTATAGTAAAGTCCATGTAAGTAAACATTTGTCTGATAAATTTCCTATCCAGATTGGTGTAAAACAAAGAGATGCTTTATTGCCACTCCTTTTCAACTTTGCTTTAGAATATGCCATTAGGAAGGTCCAGGAAAACCAAGTAGAACTGAAATTAAACGGGACACATCAGCTGTTGGCCTATGCCAATGATGTGAATCTACTGGGTGATAATATAGATTCCATAAAGAAAAACACAAACTATAATTGACAAAACTAAGGAGGTTGGTTTAGAAGTAAACACAGAGAAAAGTAAGTACATGTTGCTGTCTCATCACCAAAATGCAGAGCAAAATCATGACATAAAAATAGGAAACAGATGTTTTGAAAATGTGGCACAATTCAGATATTTGGGTACAATGATGACAAATCAAAACCTGATTCAGGAGGATATTAAGAGGAGACTGAACTCGAGTAATGTTTGCTACCATTCAGTCCAGAACATTTAGTCTTTTTGTCTGCTGTCCAAAAACATAAAAATTAGAGTAAGCAAAACTATAATTTTACTGGTGGTTCTGTATGGGTGTGAAACTTGGTCTCTGACATTAAGGGAGGAACAAAGATTGAGGGTGTTTGAGGACAGAGTGAGGAGAATATTTGGACTGAAGAGGGATGAAGTGACAGGAGGTTGGAGAAAACTGCATAATGAGGAGCTTCATAACTTGTACTCTTCTCCAAGTATAATTAGAATCATCAAGTCAAGGAGGATGAGGTGGGCAGGGCATGTAGCATGAATGGGGGAGAAAAGGAATGCATATAGCATATTGGTGGGAAAGACAGAAGGAAAGAGACCACTGGGAAGACCAAGGCATAGGTTGGTGGACAATATTAAAATGGATCTTAGAGAGATAGGATGGGTTGTTATGGATTGGATTACTGTGGTTCAGGATAGGGATCAGTGGAGGGCTCTTGTGAACACGGTAATGAATGTTTGGGTTTCATAAAATTCTTGGAAATTCTTGATTAGCTGCATATTTGGCTTCTCCTCAAGAAGGGCTCAGCTCCATAAGTAAGTAAGTAAGACCTAACATAAATATTGGTAACTGAATCACAGTCAAAATATTTCTGACAATGGTGTGTTACAATAAACATGAATATTATTTTTTGACATTGCCCATCCCTGGAACAGAATATTGGTCCAGTGATTGAGACAGACTCTTTCTAATGTGGCCCAGCTAAATGAGACTGTTTCCATTCTTACACCTGGTGACTGAAGTACATCCAGTTTCTGAAACATGTTTGAAGAAACTCAGGATTGCCAGCAATGTCCAAAGTAATAGTTCCTGCCTGCACATCTACCCCACCCATGTGTGTGGGGGTCATGAAACACATGTATGGTTTATATGGTTTTGTTGTGATCATTCCTTTGGTTTCAGGCTACAATGGAGAGTCTGGAAGAACTAGGAAAGAAGGCTTACCAGAAGCAAATATTGGGGGACTATGATGGAGCCATTAAAGTATATAATACTGCCATAAAGAAGTACCCAAACGATCGAAGACTCCTTAATAACAGATGCCTTTGTTACATTGCCAAAAAAGATTTTAAAAGGTAATTTTATAAAAGTATAGTCGAAGTACTGAACTTAGCTGGAGCCACAGCTGAAATAATTTATAGTGCTCTTCAGAAGCTTGAAGTTGCTTTAAGCATGGTGTAATAAAACCACACCTACAGTTGCTCAGCATTCACTAGATAGTAACCATACCCTTAACTAGTATACATGCATTTATATTCATAGTATAAAACTTCAGACTGTAACCCTGTAAAATATTAGTTGTGTAATTTAAGTGGCATATTAATGTGAATGTAGTTTTGTTTTCTTTTTACTGTATTTTTTTTTATTGTAAGGTGTCCCCCCACCCCAAATTCTAAAATTATGAAATTGGGCTCATCTGACATTTGATGGGCTCAGAGAATGCAAGTTGAAAAATTATATTGTGTGACTAAAGCACAAGGAAAATCTTAGCTGACAGCTAATAGCAATAAATGAAGATTGGAGATGTATTTCATTGTATTTCCATTGTTAAAAATGTCATGTGTGACAATGTATAAACCACCTGAAGGTAGTTTGGAGTATGAAAATATGTGTACTTAGTAGTTTTAATATTAACCAGTACTCTGGGATGAAGAGAGATTGGTCTGTGTTCATTACATACATACATACATACATACATTTCATTACATTTCATTTCACAAGTCCAAACAAATGGACATGAAGGTCGTCATACAAAATTTAAACAAACACACAGATAACAAAATAATTAAAACTAATTGTTTATGTTATGCTCCACATATTCAGAAACTGTATAAAAGGAATTATTCATAAGATATAAAAACAGCCTATTTTTAAAACTAATTCTATCCTCTTTAAGGCTTTGAATGGTTATGGGCAATCTGTTGAATAGTTTAATAGCAGTAAACATAGTACCTTCCTCAAAAGCAGAAAGATTCAAGTTTGGCACATATAATTGCTTTCGATTTCTTGTATTCAAACCATGAACATCTAAACCTGAACAAAATTTAGTTTGGTTATCAATCACAAACATTATCAACGAGAGAATGTATTCACATGACAATGGCAGTATATTCAATTTCCTAAAAAGATCCCTACAAGAGTCTCTAGGTCCCACTCCAGATATAATCCTTATTACCTTTTTTTTTGTAATTTAAAAACTCTAACATTATTCGTTGAGTTGCCCCAAAAAATTATTCCATACTGAAGAGTGGAAATAAGAAAAATACACCATTCGTAAAAATTTTTTACTCATAAAATAAGATAAACTCCTAATTACAAAAATAACTGAACTAAGTTTAGGGAGAATATACTCTACATGACTCTTCCAGTCTAAATTCTTATCAATTTGGAGACCCAAAAATTTTATCACAGGAACTTCATTTATAAACAAATTCCCACTAGCAACTGCCAGAGAGTTATAGGACTGTTTTAGAGCAAACCTAATAATATTAGTTGTAGTGATATTTAAAGCCAACTTATTAGCTGTGAACCAATTTATAATAAGAGACAGTGTACCCCTGACTTTATGCTTAAGCTCATCATGATTATTACCAGTAATCAAAACACTGGTATCATCAGCAAAAAGAAAAACTTCAGCCAATCTATTAATATTATTGTTACACATATGCTCATTGGAGTGTTTTAAAATCGTTCTCACAATCAGCACCCAGGAAGGGGAGTTGGAAGGGTATCATTGGCATTGTTAATAATTCAGTTATTGTCTCTCTTTGCTGTTGGATGCGCCTCCTGCTGCACATGAGGTTATTTAATTTTTGCTCAAAATTTCCAACCCCCAAATATTCTAGGGGATTGCCACTTTACACTATCTTTGAAACTGTTCCATTATGACACAGCATTAAAATGAAAGACATTATATATGTAGCAGAGCATGGAAATATAGCTGCAGGACGTAAATTTATGATCAGTGAAGCAAACGTTTGTCATTGGAGGAATGACCTCTTCCATATTTTCATACAAGGCAACCACCAAGAGCTTCATAGTGTCTAAAAAAGGGAAACATCTGGATGTGGATACTGCAGTCCTCCATTTCATCAAAGAGACATGTGCATGCTATGCAAGTAAAAGCACCAGATGCTGCAAAATCACTCAGAATAAACTGTAAGCTGGATGAAATTGATACAAGACATCGATGCACTGTGAAGAACTTTCACTCAGGCCTAGACTGTCCATCTGTCAAAAGATTTCATCCAATTTTCAAAGAGCAGCTGTTGAATTTCCAGAAGTACATTATTGAATTAAAGAAGAAATAAAGCTATGCATGTAAGCCTACAGGAAATGCACACTAGATGATGGTATAATTTGGTATGCATCAAAATTACATTACATTACTGGCCCCTATCGTAAGCCAGATGAATCCAGTCCATACCACCCTGTCCTATCTAAGATCCTTTTCATTATTATCCCCCCACCTATGTCTAGGTCTTTCCAGTGGTTTCTTTTCTCTGGGTTTCCTGCCAAAGCCTTATATGCATTTAACTTCGTGGCCTGTGTGTGCGCTACATGCCCTGCCTATCTCACTGTCCTTGCCTACATTGATCTAATTATACTTAGCAGAGAGTAAGTGATGAAGCTCCTGAGTGCATAATGAAGAGCTTTTAATTTGTACTCTTCAACAGATATTATTTGGACGATTAAATTGAGGGACTGCAAAATGCATACAGAATTTTAGTCAGGGAACCTCTTGAAAGACCTAGGTATAGATAAGAGGGTGGAATCTTAGAATACAATGTCAGAGTAGGGACTGGATTTAGATGGTTCCTTGTAATATTGTGGTGAATCTTCAGTTTCCATAAAAGACCAGGAATTTCTTGGCAAGCTGATTGTCAGTTTTCCAAGAAAGGCACTGCTCTGTGTAAATAATTAATCTGTTCGGATGACTGTTTCATTGTTCCCAAGGTGTATCAGATTTTACAAAAGCAAGGCAGAGGCTGTTATCTTATGGTGTTCAGTTATTTTAAGCTAGAAACGGTGAATTTTTGGCCTTTGTGTGGTGTTGTCAGGTCACAAGAAGGATGTCTTCCATGTGGTATTTGACAGAATGATCATATAGAAGTGGAAAATTAGGGTAACATCATAACTTCGGAATGTAGTATTCCATATAATATTGAGGACTGACAAATGAGTCGATGGCGAGTATGTGTCTGGACTCCACACAGTAGCATACTTGTCTTGACAAGCCTAGCAAATACATAGGTATTGTGTTATAACTAAAGTAGTTTTTGGATAGCTCATCACCAAAATGGTTGGTATTTTGAACAAGTGGTCAAGATGAGAAGTTTGTTCACACTTGGAAAAAAGGACAAGAGTCATCATTGGGGATGAAAGTTGGATTTTTCAGTGACTCTTACGACAAAGCTTCACAGCATACAATGGCAAACTCTAGTCACCCAACCATAGCAGGTGCAGGTGTCAAAATCAGATGTCAAGACAATGTTGATTTCTTTGGCTGCAAGGGAGTTGTCCCACCTGGTAAAACTGTCAACCAGAAGTTTTATCTCTAAGTGAGTGACATCTGATATGGCAAGTCTGTCATGTGAGGCTAGAATTGTTCCCTGATAAGTGGATTCTGCAGCTTGACAGTACACTCACATGCAACCCTTTCTGTGACGGAGTTCTTAGTGAAAAATTAAATTATACACATGGAACACCCCACTTACCAGATCTGACTCCATGTGACTTCTACCTCTTTACAATGAAGAATCATCTGAAGGGATCACTTTTTGAAACCATAGAAGAGATTCAGAAGTGATTTCAACAGTTGGACAGAATGATGAAATTCATGTACATCTGCTGGAAGGATTTACTTTCAAGAAGATTGCTGCAGTTTGGAGTAAAATTTAATACAATACTGCAGATGAGTATAATCTTGTTATTTGTCTAGCCTCATGATGTTATGAGAGCATTGCAGGGTTATATAATTCCATACATTCTATATATTTTAGATTGGAGCTAGACTGAAATTTGTAATGGAGATAAATCATAAACATTTAGCATTTGATGTTCTTATGGCAGTGAAAATGAAGAGTATGGTCTTCTTACTTATAACATCATGTAGTTTTCAGATAAGCCAAGAGTAATAAACCAGCAGAAGCAGGCAGCAATCCCAGGTACATGGAGCTAGAACTGTGCTCTTCAGTTCATAAACCTATTCACGCATTCAGTATGAGGCATATTTTGTATGTTAAAAATTACAAACATAGTGATGGTGCAGAATGTTTAGTTTGTATCTTATGAAGTAATAAGGGTAAAGGAAATTTTGCATAAAAATAGACTTGTAAGTTTAGTAATTATGTCTTATCCCTGTTAGACCCATTCTCAAACATTTGGCATTTCAGAACAAATTACTGAGGAGAGTGTTTAGACACAAGGATGCAGAAGTTAATGGGAGAATTGAGGTTACATAAAGAACAAACTAACTCTGTGGCTTGAGTCCACAAGTGAACTATACCAACTGAGCTACCACCTCTTGTCAGTGAAGTTAGTGCAAACGTTAGCAGATAGAGGGTGTCGAGTGGTCAGTGCAACGAATCCCCACGGCCATTAGTTTTGGATTTTGGACCGGAGCTATTTCCTTGAAATACCTCCTCAGTTATCCTCATGAGGCTGAGTGGACCCCATTTCAGACTCACTACTTCTCAGAAAATCTGGTAGCACTGGAATTGAACCCAGACCTCTGGATCTGTACCCAGTAACTCTGACCACTAGACCACAAAGGCAGTCAGTTACATAAAGAACAGTTTCTTAATTTGTATTCTTCCCTGATAGCATGTATGTAGCATGCATGGATAGATGAGAAGTTCACACATAATTTTAATCATAAGACTTCAGTGGAAGAAATGGCTTTGAAAATGTAGTCATATGTGGAAGGGTAATGTTAAGATGGTGCTTGAAGAAGGAGGGTGTTAAAGAGTTGAGGAGGATTAAACTGGCTTTTTGTAAGAGTCCAGATGATGGGATTTTATCATCATAACGAATCTTCAGGTTCTGTAAATTCAGGTTTAGTCAGGAACATTTCTTTTGGCCAGTCAAAATCATTCTGTCACCTCTTACAACTAATCTATAGTGCTACACCTCACTACTTGCTCAGCCCATTTATAGGCCAGTAGTGGCTGCAGTATTGCTGGACAGGTCAAAGGGTAGGCATCAGACGAAGAGAGAGACCAAAAACCAAAAACTGATGCCAGAAGCAGCGACTTGAAGCACAGAGCAAGTGATGCTCAAGATGGTTCAAGTTTGTATAGCAACAGGCGTGACCAGAGTTGTTTGAACGGCTGTTGTACTGTGATGTGGAAAGCAAATGGAAAAACTACCACATCATTTTTCCTGGATAGTCTCTTTCCAAAGACAGAAGATCACATTAAGTGGAAGAACTGTTTTGGAAGAGACTGTGGACCTGTCATCTGCCAGATTACTAATGAATGAATGAATAGATGAAGGGTTGATGACCTATAGTAGCCAAAGAAATGTCCCCAGCTTTAGTACTGTAACTGTGAACTGTACAAGATAGATCCTATGAGTTAGCCCATAAATTCTGTACAGCAATGGCTCTCAACCTTTGCGAGACCACAGCCCAATAATTTTTTTTTAAGATGAGGGTCTGGTATAATTGATGCCAGAGCCTGGTACTGGACTGCTGTACAGCAGTTGAGAGACACTGGTATACAGTACTTTTTAACCTAACACTGAATTGTGATTGCTGTATCCTGGAATGTGGTTTCATGTAGTCTGGTAGATGGTTTGAATGTTTTGACGCTAATGATGGATGAATTACATTCCTGTGAAATGCTAGTAAACATGTACTTACTGGACTACGAAGGGTTGTATCTCAAATGCTCCAGCCATAGTGTTCATTGCATTAAGAGCGTCATGCCATACACTATTCGCTGTTACTGTTTCACAGAGCTTTGCCATAGCTCAGGTAGTTAGTTGCTGATTTCCCACCACAGCAACCCGTGTTCCGACCCAGGTCAGGTCATGTGGAATTTGTGTTGGACAAAGTGGCACTGGGGTAGTTTTTTTTTTAGTCCTTCAGTTTCCCCTACCATATGTCATTTGACCAGCTACTCCACATTCATTAATCATCCTATCACTGATGCTGAATTATCTCAATAATAATGTTGTTGAATAACCTTCTTGATCTTGTTTCATATAGAGCAATGGAGGATGCAGAACTTATGATACGTCTTTTTCCGGAACATGCTAAGTCTTATTATCGTAAAGGAGAAATACTTACTACAATGAAGGTAAATGTTTTGCTTTCAGAAAGAATGTTGTTGTTTTTTTACCCATGATTGCGTATGGTCCTTTTCTTTTAATGGTGAAATGATTTAGGTTTTGCAGTCATGAGATGCTGGACTTAAATACTGTAGGCTATAAGACAATTTGAACGGTCATTTTATCATCTTAATTCTATAGGTACATGTATATGGATCTCTGAAGATTGTAAGTTGTGATGTTTTGGTTACCCTACCATACAGCCTGGTAGGTGGGTGCCAGCATTTAGGAGGAATATACTGCCTCCATCATCAGGATAGAGTGCCTACCTACCCTGAAGATGGAGTAGCAGGTGCCCTCAGAACACTGGTAACAAATCTATGAGCATACATTGTCAGAACACAGCCATGAAAACTTCAAATCTGAACCTCATGTCCAAGATCATATAGGAAGTATCCATGTTTCTATGCAGACTGCATATGTATGGAGAAAATTTAATGTATTTTTAGGTGTGATGTCTGTTTTCTTCCAGCGTTATATCGAAGCAGAAGAGGCATATATAAAGGTTTTATCATTGGATTCAGAATGTGAAGATGCTAGACGACAGCTGTTGGATGTACAAGCCTTGCAACTATGTGAACATGGTTATAAAAAAGAGCATGCGCTGAAGGCTCTTGGTCATACGCTAAACCACGATACACATATTGCAAACATAGAGGTACTTGATGTTTAGTCTCTTTCTGTTTACTTACTGTATTGTTTTATAAATCCTTCTTTGAAGAAAGAAAGCATATTATGAATTTCTTTATAAGTATACATGGAAGATCTAAAAATAATAGCTGCAACAAGAGAAACTTCTTGCCATTTAACGTTTTAAGTACTGGTCATCTGTAGGAATTTGTAGGAATGAACGCCTCAAACTGCTGAAAACGGTTCATAATTTTTTGGCTGAATTGCATGTGTTTATTTGCCCTAGATTAATAATATTGTTCTGTAAAAGAAGTACCTATGGAAAATTTATGGACTTAAAAAATTAATTCTTACTGGATGACAGTGTCTGCTTCATTGCTGTAGATAAGGCTACACACCCAACACACTATAGGATACAAATACAGACACTTCCACTCACATTTGGGTTTTTGTGTGCCACAACTTGAAGTGTGGTACAAGACAGACCGCAGTCACACGTCTTGCAATAGTAGACTTTTTTTTTTTTTTGGCACACACACCTCCTTTGGCTGGCCAGTGCAGAGAATGTTTTACTTGAAGAAGGCTCATTTGAGTCTCCCAACTGAGGGGCCAATCCCTTGGCACACCATGTATTTCAGTATCCTCTTCATGGGAAAGAACAGTGAGACACCTAGTCAGCTGCCCCCCGAAGTTCAGATGTGTCATATTTCCCTCACAAAACTTGCGTAAAATGTATCTACTGCCATATGTTCTGTTGGATGATACAGTTCCAGAAATTTTGAATTTATGTTGATAAACATTTGTCTGATTTTCCATAATCTGTTGTAATCAGGATCTTCTGCATCTTGTGTTGGTTGGTTTTGATTGTCCACAAAGTACAGATTTTTCAGAGCTGTGTAAAAACAGTCACATGGCATCACACACTGGAGCAGAAAGCAACATGGTAGAGTTCATCTTTGGTCCATTATAGCTTCATACTGGGTTTGTGGTCATGACCTTACTGAACTGCAAGAAATGTGTTTAGGTCCTTTATGCTTATTTGCTGATAATATGTAATATATGGCTAATTTCTTGCATGTGCTCTTGCTTATATTGGTTGGTCTCTTGTACAATTACTGCCAGCATCATCTGAAAATACAGCAAGAAGAAATTATGAGGGTGTGAATTTTTGATACTATAGGCATTCAGGCCATTTTGTTCTCCCACAAACTGGTGCACATCTACCGTACGAGAAGGAATTTGATGGGGCCACTCTTCATCATTTTCTTCAGCAGATGGTGGAACTGGAAGTGTGGTATCTTTCCGTTCTTCTGACTCATTGTCAGCATACTGCTATTCAACATCATTTGTGCACATGCTAAATTGACTAGCAGAAACATATGCTTCAAAGGTCCTGCCATAATGATTGCTGGTCACTGGTGTCCTGAGTGCATTTTCATGTAGAATCAGATAGACTTATAAGGTGGGACTGAATCTGCCACAGAATACTAGAATATCTTATTCAGTAACAACGCTGTCCTCTTGTCACTTTTTCTCTCTGTTCATAAAACAGCTTCATATGCACATGAACAAAGAAAATTGCAGATGGGTGGTAACAGTCTGCCACTGACAGCTATGATGTAATTCTAATCATAAACAATTTTCATTTCCCCTCACATATTTTAGTTCCCCCACATATATTTATCAGGTTTGAATAGCACGTCAGCTGTTACAGACCCAAAAAAGGGAATGAGAAGAAAAACACACCTCCTGTCAGGGTTCAGAGTGTCAGTAAATTCTTCCTAGTGGTTAGAGCAGCAGTCTGCACAGGAAAATAAATTTGATGCATGAACTGTGTATACTGAGATACTGCAGAGTAAAGTTCCATGCTTTGTTTGGTCCAAGCACACGCACGGCACCAAAAGGGCTTCTCATCAGGAAGATGTGGGACTGCCAGTATGTTGGACATTTGGCCGCTTGCCAAATTACTCAGGTGTTAATATATTGGACATTCATCCTTTAAAGGTTACATTAAGCTGCAAGGGTAGGTAGGTGCCATATAAAGAAATTTTCAAGGGGCCAGTTAAGTATTATGAATTAAGTGTGATATGGAACAAAGAACATGGAATTTTAATGAACAAATATCTACAGATGTGCAAAGCGACTGATGATGGCAACAAATAGATGTGCTGTCGTGTATTTGGAAGCTGCTAAGCTTATTGTTACCTTGTTCTGATGTTTGTTCTCATTGTATTCTGTCTAGGATGCAGAAAAGATCCTTAGATATGGAACATCAGAAATATTTGATAATAACAATGACCTGGATTATGACAGTGTTTACTATTCTGATGATGAGAATGCATGCAGCAGTGTCATTAAAGCAGACAATGTTTATGATCCACTTTTGGAGTGAGTATCCTACTGTACATTCAGCAGTTGGTAACAGAATTTGTTACCACACCATGAAAGAATACTGCAGTCTGTCTTGTATAGTGTGTGCTCTTGGGTTGTTTGGGCTGTTTGCTGACCTTTCAAGGTATGTAGTTGACCAGTCCAGTGCTGATATTTTTAGTTTTGAATCAGGCAGTGGATAATTCTGGAGTCTTAAACAAAAGTCCCCTTACTTTGTGACTATCTAAGTCCTAGGTCAGAGGGATGAAGCCTCTAACTTAAAGTAATAAAGTGCTGTTGTACACCTCAAGGGGCAGTAATGAATGAGTATGGAGCAATGGTGGAATAATAATTGACAGGGAAAACCACAGTCCTCAGAAATATCATCATACCAGGCCACCACAACATTGCCTTGTCACTGAGAATTAGTTATATCGATACACATCTTAAGATTTCTGTGAAAGTATATTTTATATATTTATATTGCTCAGGGTTAGTTGTGATTCACATGTCAAAGGTTAATTTCTATGTTACAAAAACTGAATTAATAAATAATCTATGAAAGGTTTGTGGCCAAGTTCTGTATTTAGAATCTGTCCATGTTACATAGAAGAAATAATAAAGAGTCAATAGCTTGTGGGTGTTTTATCATTCTTATTATCCACTTGACCTGTGTTGTAATGAAATATGTATTTTGATGCTATATGCAGTATGTTTATGCTCCACCATGTTCAAAGTACAGCTGTATAGAGTTTTAATAATGTCATTACTTTTACAGCCCATCAAATCCACTGAAAAGCTGTTCCCTTTGGGTTGGCTTCGTAACTGAGGATGTAACTGAAAAAATGCTTACTAATTTGTTTTCTAAGTAAGTATCCAAAAAGGCTGCACCATAGCTCAAGCAGTTAGTCACTGGCTTCCCACTGCGGCAGCCCAGGTCTGGTCAAGTGGGATTTGTGGTGGACAAAGTGGTGCTGGGGCAGGTTTTCTCTGAGTACTTAAGTTTCCCGTGCCAATCTTCATTCCACCAATTGCCCCACAAGCACCTTCACCTGTCATCTGGGGCTGGTACAATAAACCAAAAGTGGCCGCAGTCCCACCCCACTAGCAATATAAAAAAAGGTATCCAAAAACACTTCCTGGAGAAAGTGCATGGTAAGGTTCAATGATTTGTATGAATTCAGCAGAAATGGAAACCATTTTATTAGTTTCAGAAACCGATGAAACATGGACAGACCTCAAGAAAACTCTCTTTGTGTGTTAACCCTAATACATGTTAGTGGGGTCTGGTGGACCACACATTTTTTTCTGTTGTACGTGCACATAGTGTGTTGTAACAGGCTGTCCTAAGTGATAATTCATGCGAATGAAGGACTTCTCAATATGTTACAATGTTGTGTTTTTGATCTTTGTATTTCACACCACATTAGGCAGTGGTGTTACTCAGGCCCCACTGACACGTTAGAAGGTAAATTGGATTATATTTTGTCTTCAGATGATATGCAGCTTATTTTTAAGTGTTTTCCTGTGAAGAGTCATCGTTGTTCACTCCTATTCTATTGTATATTTTACAGTCGGAACTCTATAGATTTTATAATGCCTTCAAAGAATTTTACCAATGACATCGCTGAACTTCTTACTGAAGAAAACGATTCAGAGGATGATGTGTGGAGTGATGATGAAGGAAGTAAAGATGAAAATAAAGAAATTATTCAGTCTGAGCATGAAGATGATAGTGACTATGAAGGAGAAAAGATGGAAGTTAAAGGTTGCAGTAGTGGCTACGATAACAGTGATGGCACTAGTACTCGTAGTTTAATTATGAAAGGTGCGTGAATGCGCTGAAGAGAACGGGTCAGCTGCTAAGGAGAAACGTTGTACAAGCTGGTAATGAGGGTGAAGCTCGAAACTGCAAGAGTACCAATTGAAGCACGGAATTTAATATTTGCAGACACTATTCCGCAGAAAGTTTCACATCGTTCAGATGAAGAAATTGCCAGGAGAATGGCTACATATGAGTGGAAAATGTCATATAGTAACAAGACGACAGTACATGAACGAAGATCATTCATTGGTCTGTTGTATGATTTGAGAATATTGAAGGCTGGGCATGAGAATGTGAAAGAGATTTGGAGTGAAACCTTAGGCTCAACATTATTGAGGGAAACGCGCTTTTAGTTCCTCAACCTCTGTTGGTTCAGTGATGACATCAGACCAGAACAAGAAAGAAATGGCATATTTGCAGCTATTAGAGAGATCCAGAATATGTTCAGTGCGAATTGTAAACTGTATTACACACCTCATGTTTATTATACAGTACATGAACAACTACTTGATTTCCATGGGCACTGCTCGTTTACAGCATATATTCAGAATAAATATGGGATCAAAATTATGATACTTTGTGATGATGGAAAGTCATTTTGTATGGTGAGTGAAACACCATACACTGACTGAGTTGGAAAAGCAGCTGGTCAATCTGTTCCCCCTTATTACTTCAGACTGACAGAACCGAATCATGGCACAGAGAACCGTAACATGTGACATTGGTTCAGTGTAGGGACCATTGCTTTTTGTTGTGTAGTGCTTGTTCTGAAGATGTGGAGTAATAGAACAAGCATACGTGAGTGAAATAACATCTTTTGTGTAATCTCACATTTATATCAACTGAGTAGCAGAGTTCAGTTTCTTCTACTGTGTATCTTCATATAGTTACATGAGTGTACAGTATAGATGTAAAGTAGGCTACATACATAGCTTCACAGATCCATTGCTCATATTCGGCCGGATATTGAGCTCATCCGATTAATTAAAAGTAGTTGCAATATGCAACCAAGTCCAAATAGACACAACCTAGATACAATAGGAATATAATACAGTTAGGTATTTGCCATATATTCATCAATAGAATAGAAAGCTTTCAAGATAAGAAAGTCTTTCAGTTTTCATTTAAATAAATTAACATTATCCTTTAAAATATATAATTTATGTGGCAAATTATTACAAATTTTTATGGATGTATAATATGCTCCCTTTTGTACAAGGCTCATCCACAAAGTAAGTTTCCCTGGGGACGTTTGCAGAAACAAAACATAATTTCATGGAAATATTACAACAGATACAGCAAGTGTTCAGCTATTTTTCAACATAATCACCACCGGAATTGAGACATTTGTCATACCATGGGAACAACTTTTGAATACCTGTGTTGTAGAAGTCTGCCGCTGACGCTCACCAGACAGGAATTTCTTGAGGTGTAGGAAAAGATGGAAATCACTGGGAGCGAGGTCCGGGCTGTAGGGTGGATGATGAAACACCTCCCAGCTGAACTCCTGCAGGAGACTTGCTGTCCGTTGAGCCGTGTGCGGCCTAGCGTTATTGTGCAGGAAGTCGATACCGGCAATAAGCATCCCGTGCTGCTTGTTCTGAATGGCCCGTCACAATTTCTGCAGTGTTTCACAGTAACGCTCAGCATTCACCGTCTCACCTCTGGTCAGGAAGTCGACGTGAAGACGTCTCTCCCAGAATACCGTGCACATCACTTACCGCGCTGACGTCTGCATGAATTTCGTCTTACAGGGAGATCCACTGTGACGCCAATGCATTGACTGCTGCGTCGTTTCTGGGGTAATGTGTGCAATTCACGTTTCATCACCTGTGATGATCCATTCCAGAAACTCGTCGCCGTCATCATGGTACCGCTGCAGAAATGTCAATGCTGACTCCATGCACTTTGTTTCGTGTTCTGGTGTCAGATGCTTCGGCACCCACCTGGCGCACAATTTCCTGAACAACAGGTGCTCCGTGACAATTTCGTGCAACAAGGTGCGGGAAATCTGAGGGACATGACTGCTGCTGAGTTCCGCAATTGTGACGCGATGATTCTCCATGCGTTCCCGCACAAGCTCCACCAGGTCGTCTGTAATGATGGATGGCCGCCCACTGCACTTCTCATCATGCACACTTTGTTGACCTGCTGAAAATTGTCTGCACCAGTGACACTCCATCTGCTTGCTCATGACATTAGGCCCATAGACCCGGCACAGCTGACAATGAATTTCGATTGGCGCTATGCTCTGTGCATTCAAAAACTTTATCATTGACCGCACTTCACAGTCGGTGGGAGCTGGAATAAGAGCCTCCATCTTCAACAGCTGCAACGATGCTACTGTGGGAACATGGGAAATCCGTTAGTGCATGCGCCATGCTACGTCATTGCTCTATCACATACGCGCAGTTGTTTTGCGCAATATAAGGTTTGGTAGCTGTGGGACGAGTGGGAAACTTACTTTGTGGACGTGCTACGAATAATGGATAGTCTAGCTGATGTGACATGTAGTCTATTTTGTACTCTAGTGTTAATTTTATGTGCACTATTATTTGTAGGATAATTATTTTCGTTTTCAATTACAAACATGACCATGGCATATATAAACAAACTGTAAGTATCCCTAATTCTCTAAAAACCTCTCTGCAAGAACTTCTAGGCCACCTCATTAACATTGCTCTAATTGCTCTTTTCTGAGGCACAAAATCTCTTTTCATTGATGATGAAGAAGAGCCCCAGAAAATAACACCATATTTAAGTTGAGCTTGACAGTAAGCACAGTAAGCCATTTTCAACACTTGCCTACTTACTATAATAGGCTGTAGTTTTCTAAGCACAAAGGTTGCAAAACTCAACTTATTTATCAGCTAAGATGCAGAAATAAATAAGTCCTAGCTCTCTTGCTATATCTCCAAAAATTTTGTGTTTCTATAGAAGTTTTCTCAAAGAAAATAATCTGGAGTCTGGTAGTAAGATCATTTTCTACAATATGTTTTATTTCATGTATTAACTTAAGAAAAACATATATCTGTGTAATAGACAAAATTTAATGTTCCCTAACTCAGGTACACACACATTTCTAATTTTTTTATAGTAGAAGGTTTTACAAAGAAAAAAATGTTGAATTATACCAGACGTAGCAAAATTGGGTATGACAGTTCCATTGGCATTGTTTTGTATGAGCACACTAAATATCATCCCTCTTAAAATGGTTTTTTATGCATCACTGATTTATAAAAGTAGTTTTCTTTGCACTTCTGTTGTGGAGAAGTTTGTTAAATAATTATACATTCTTGTTTTCAGATACGGAAAGATTCTGAGTGTGTGTCCTCGCTATTCATTACACTGCGCTTTTATCAACTACGCTGATCACATTGCAGCGGGTAAGGCAATGAAAGCATTGCAAGGAGCACTTGTTGGAACTAAAAATATTCTCATAAGGTTTCCTGATAATGTTGCCAGCCACACAAAATCTATTTAGGTGAGTATAAACAGGTTGACATTTTATAATAGTAAATCAGTACTAGTAAGTTTCAGTAATTAGATTATTAATTAAATAGTCTAAAACCACTTACAAAGAACTAGGATAGCTAAGTAAGTATAGCGATGGGCTACAGCCTGGACAACCAAGGAATTGAACTTTGGTTTGCAGCAGGGACGAGGTTTTTCTCTTTTACACAGCATCCAGACAAGCACTGGGGACTCTTCCCCAGGGTTAAAGCTGCTGGGATGTGTAGGTGACCACTCACAATCTAGTGCTGAGGTCAAGTGATGGAACTATAACCATCTCTCACTCACCTTCCTTACATTGATTGTCACCCCTTTCCTGTGTCGTTTTTGTGTCGGACGCCAGTAAGCTCAACTCGTGTTGGTTTGCAATAATTAAGGGTTTAACTTAGGAAAGAGAGGTACAGGTGTTGGGTAACTAGTTCAGCTGTTGGTAGAGCTGAAATTCTTTCTCAGAGTGTTTGGCAGGGCCTCACTTAGGCAGGGAACGGATGAACACGATACTACGCCTTTGCACTTGAGCACTGTGATCATTTATTAACACTTTTATTTACTTGATAGCAGACACAGTTACTATATGTACTTATCTAGCTTTAGTGCTGTTACACCAGAAGTTATCAGAATAGTTTAAGTAAACACTTTTGCTTGTTGAATTTAGGCTTTTGTCCAGAACAGCGGTGATACAAATTTTGCATCTAAACAGTTCACAAGTTGGCAGTCAACTGAAATCAGCGACTGACATCTCTGAAGACCCTGAGGTCCTTGGTTCATCAGTTCCTCAGCTATGTCACTCCCCATAAATCCACCGATTGAGTAATTTTGAAATTTTGCAGTTCACACAATTTTTGGATCTCCAGTCAGCTAACTGGAATATGAGATTTTGATCCTGAAAGTTGTAACGTTTTTGACAGCCCAGTGATGGATACTATGCTTAGCGTGGGTATTCAGCACGCCTACTTTTAAGTTACAATGTTCTGGACCTGTCAGATCATATTCTCAAAGTTTGCTGCTGTGTTACTACTAGACAAAATATCTAAGAAAAAGCCACATGGATGCTTCCTGTGAAACAGTAAGACTGGGAATAAGTCAATTCCTGCAAGCAAGAAGGTGACTATGTCCCACTTGTTTGACTATTACAGCCTGGGTATTTAGAAGTGACAGTCCAGGAAAAGCTGGGCAGTGGATGGGCAGGTCCATTTGTGAAAGTTGAGGGGTGTTGTGGTTAGTAATTCGTTTGATTTCAGTGCGAGAAGACGTCTCAAGTTCAGTTAAAAGTTCCTTGTACAGTCAAGTTAAGAAGTTTTGACTCTTGGAGTCGTATTTTAGTGTATTATCTCTATTTACTGTATTAATACTTTATTTTATTCTTTATTTTTATTCATTGATTTTCTTTTTTTTTCTTTATTTATATTTGTACATTTTTTCTGTCTCCTTTAACATACCACCTACACGAAGTAAATTGAGTGGAGAAGTGTTGCATTCACAATCAAGAGAAATTGTTAGTAATGTATATAAGTATATGAAAGAGGCTGGGCCAACAATTAAGTGAAGAACATAGGAGTGGAAGTAGCAAAGGTAATTGGTGTATCGGAAAGTAGTATCAGAAGAATAATAAGAGAAACAAAAAATATTGAATCTGGGGCTTCCACTTCCTTTTTGACACCCCATAAAGAAAGACCTAGGAAATCTCCACTAGCCACTTTGGATGACTTTAGCGAGTCTGTAGTGCGAAGACCAATTAATGACTTCTACATATAAAAAAAACAGACCTACCCTGTAAAAAGTTCACGAAAGTTGAAGAAAACATTCTGTGTTGGCAGTGATAATGACAGTTCTGATGATAGCTCTGATTCTTCTGGTGGTGACAAGGAAGGACAGGCATGTGGAAATGATATCTGTGCAGACATTGCCGGCGTTGCTCCTTTAGAATAGACCTGTGTAATATGTAAATAAACTCTTCATGTATATAACAGTGAAAAGTGTATAATAGTATATAGTGTACAGTAGTGTAAAGTGTATAATAGTCTACCATTCGGCACTTAAAATTAAAAGTGGATGTATGAACATCATCGAGACTAAACCGCCAACACTATGCAACACAATGAGATAAGAAATTATTTCCTTTTGAGAATGCCTGTAATGCATTCCCCTCCACACTTGTCGGCATGCTGGAGCTCTCCCCGCCACTACCAATACTTCTCCTACTCCGCGTCGGAGGACTGTCACTTCTAAATACCTGGGCTATACCTGCTACCTACAGTTCTTTTGTACTTATGATTCTGATTATACCCAAAACTAGTACGCGACAGTGGAGCAGTTACAGAACTATACCCTCACTCTCCATACATCTTCTGTCATACTGCTTAATTAATTAAGCACGGGGGCAACTTTACTGTTTTACTTTACAATTAGTTATAAATAGGGCCCGGATTTTTATGACATAAAAACTATAAATATATGCATGCACTTATGACCCAAAATTATGTCAAATATGACCTAAAAAGTGTAAAATATGACCTTAAATATTAAATGGGACATAAAATTTCACAATTTTAATTACAACTTTTACTAGAGTTTAAGACTAAAGATGATGAATATATGATAGTAGGTCCTACTTACCAAATTAGCCCTTTTATGTTTCTGAAGGAAAGAAAACTGATGGAATTTTGACATTTCGTACCGGATTGAACCATTCATTGTTTTCTTTTTAATACTGATATTTGCATTCATATTTTAGACAAACACTGGTGCACATGGTATGAACACTAACTTAACTCTGTTATCTAAAAACACCATTTAAAAGAACACAAGCTATTCACGTCTCAATTTTCACTGAGTTATTCACGTCTCAATTTTCACTGTTACAATTGCAATTTATAACTACATGCATTTTCAAATTTGAAAGATCGCCGATTATCACTAAGGATAGTTTTGTATTTGGAAAAACTTCGTTCCACATCACATGATGTGACAGGAGCATATTTGAAGAATGTCAAGTCGTTTGGTGACAGTTCTGTATCATCTTCGAATGTTGCTAGTTTACCGGAAAGTATATCTGCAATCTTGCATAATGTTGAATAACCAGCATTCCGATGAAGAACACTTTCTATTTTGGTTTTAATCCTGTCACTTATTTCACCACGAGTTCGGTTTAGTTCATTCTCAATGCTCTTTACAGTGTCCAACGCGTCACAGAGTTCAGTCCCTACAAATTCCAGGCGAGTTATTGCACCTGAAATTGAACAGAAGTTTGACTTTATGTATGCCAGATTTTGTGCTAGAGTGGTAGAGAATAAGTCCTTGACAGCTTTAATTGATGTTGACTCACTGCTGTCAAAGCCATTAAACATTTTCTCAATGGCTGTGTAATTTTCACAATAATATGCCACAGCATCCAACCATGTACCCCACCGTGTGACGACAGGCTGTGGAGGAAGTGGCAGTAGAGGAGCTTCTTGTTTAAATTTCTGCACTCGAAGAGGGGCCTTGATGAATATTTTCTTTCCGTTTGAAACTAGCCTATCTACATCAGGAAAATGTCCTCGAACTTCTTCAGCCACTCTATGCAATGCATGAGCGAGGCAAGTAATATGGACCATTTTCGGGTAGAGGATTCGAAGTCCTTTGGCAGCCTTCTTCATGTATGGAGCGGCATCTGTTACTAGGAGAAGGACATTATTTCGCTGTATTCCATTTGGCCACAACAACTTCATGGAATTATCAAATAGGACAGCTATAGTCGAATGATTTGCTCTTTCGAGAACTTCACAGTCAAGAAGAAATCTCTCTCCAGGTTGATCTTGTTTCAGGGTCCCAACTATAACATTCGCAATATACCGCCCATCTACGTCAGAAGTCTCGTCCAAGGAAACCCATATCTTGTTGTCAGCAACAGATGTTCGAATCTTATTTAACATATCTTCATAACATGTAGAGAGATAATTCTTTCTTAACGTCGATTCACTTGGGATAGGATGACTAGTGTATGTCTCCAAAAATTGTCTGAAGTGCTGATTATGCAATTTCTCTAATGGAATATTCGAAGATACCATCCACTGACACAAATCCTTCGAAAATTCCGACCCATTGTTCATTGAAGAAGGTGAAGCAGAAGAAGAAGAAGAAGAAGAAGAAGTAGTAGAACTGTTTTTAAACAACAAACTTTGTCTGCTATCCTTTGTAGATAATCTGCTTAAACATTTACCATGTTTAAAAGTTTTACAATGCTGCTGCACAGTAAATCGCTTTTCTGCCGTAACTTTCACGCCACACAACTTACAATAAAATATCTTGCCATCGGTACTAAACACTTTATCACCAAACTCCTGTACAAAACTACGCAACCTTGCGCTCCTTGAACTACATGTACTCACTTTAGGCATTGTAAGGTCAAACTGAAGTCTTATAACGCCCTCCACATATATAAATAGAATACTTCTAAGCCCTCCAAGAAAGAATGGGATGTATATACCTTATAGTAAGACGGAGTACAATAGGAAAATACCCGTTACACTTGCCTCCCTCCCGCCTCGACTGGGAAAAGCCGGCTTGCCAGGTCATAAATGCTGCATTTCACAAATTTTCGCCTTTGTAACTGCAAGTACAGTCCAGTCAAAAATATGGTTTTTAATACGAACTTCATGTACTTGAACTCTATTCCACATTGAAGCAACAGTCCAGCCTGAAATTTATTTTGTAATACTAAACATTATGGAGCCGAAATTTTACATTATATCAAAGAATTGTTTCTAAAATGACAAAAATATGACCTTATTTCAAAATTATGCCAAAATATGCTGTAAAACCAATAAAACTCTAAAATATGCATTTAAATGCACAATAAAAACTATATAATTTCAATAAGAATGACTGGAAACATGCATAATTACATTTAAAAACGGGAATAAACCCTAGGAAAAAAATATGACATGTCATAGAAATCCGGGCCCTAGTTATAAATCATACAGTTGATAAAGCATATAGTTGGACTGTGATTGTGTAGTTGCATAGGTGGGTTCCAGTGTTTCAGAGGAATGTGTTACCTCCATCTTCAGGGTAGAAGGCACAGTCCTGTAACCCAGGATTCAACAGGGTAAACTATTACTGTTATAAAAACCAGAAATCTCATCAAACACTAATAAGAAGAAGATTCAGACATATTACCTCTAGTGTTACCTGATGCATATTAGTGAAACCAACATGATTTTGGACATGGTCATTGATTGTGTTTATTCTTTATTTTTCAGCTGGATTCCAGTCTTCTATATTATGTATATTATTATTATTCTGTAAGAAGAGTATGTATTAAAATGTATGTACAAGTATTCACCGTGAAGAGATGTTTTAATTTTATATACATTGTATAGATGTATCCGATAGAACATATGTAAGTTATCTCAGTAGTCTGTAACTTAAAGCATACCAGTTTGTCTTCTTATGAAGCCATGTGTAGAATGTCGTTCACAAGTGGTGTTTTGTGCATCAACATACTAGATATGTAGCTTTTTTTTCTCATAATTTCATTACGTGAAATATGCACATAGACTTTTATTACCTGACACTGAAAATAACTGCGATGAAGTCTTTTATTAAAATAAAGGTTTTCTGTTCACTTATATAAAAATTTTATTTATTTCTAGATGTGTGTTTCCTAACCCCTGAAGTTAACCTTTAACTCATTTTTCAGTAAATACAAACATCTATATGTCGTTTGACAGGTAGGTTACGTTATGTTACATTAGATTATATAATATATATATATGTATGTGTGTAATTTTACACTTTTTTACTTTAAATTATCCCCCCAATACACACAGCTCTGCAAAAAAGTGTTAAAATATTTGTCCACAAGAGGTATTTTCATCCTCATGTGTACACTGCACTCAGAGCTTGTGAATAAAAGTAAAGGAATCTGCTGATGAATTTAAATAGAACTACTAGAAAAGAAGTGAAATTACAATTGAAAGACAAAGATTCAACGATGACACAGACATGGCTTATCCAGGTGCTGAAAGTATTAGAAGCAGGCATTGAGCGACTGCCATGCGGAGAGAAGGCCCCATGCACTAGTGACATCCTAAAACAGTAATCTGTAGTTACTTGATCTAATTACATTCAAAACAATCATGTTATTCACAACACAAATTCATAAATATTCACTAGTTATTCTGCTGCATTTAAACAATTTTAAGTAATGTGTTTAAAAATAGTGTCGCATATTACAATGAAAGATCTGAAAAATGTTATACAAGAAGTTATACTTTATTTTTCCAATTTTTTCTTTTAATTTTGATGCGTGCTGAAAAAATGGTGTCCCAGTTCTTCACAGAGTTATTCTGCATTATAAATTCGTTTCTGTTTGTAACACTTGACAAATTTTAGCAGTCCCTGGTGCCATAAAACAGATGGAAGCAATAAAATCATTTGGTTCTCTGCTGGAAAACCTTACATCTTTGTTACACTCTTCAGATTTTCGAATCTTTTAACTAAATGACTGAAGAATGAAAGCATGGCTATTCAAGATATGGCTAGAGGGGTCCCTTCTTCAGTGCTAACACCTTCCGTTATAGCTGCAAGAGAATATTGCCCTTTCTATGGGCGTGAGCACACACCTGCATCGTGGCTCAGTTACAGAGAGAGCAATCTGTTTTCTGTGCGTTCATAGTGAAATTGAATACTGTAGTTTCATTTCAGCCTATATATACATCAAGCAGATAACAAAAAAGGTATGTACATAGAATTTTACTATATATTTTTAACACATTAATCTGCAGATTCTGCAATAAAAGTACGGGCTCGTGGATGAGTTTGGGCATAACTCATAAGTACACTCTTTTTGTTGTTCACTTAGGTATCATTTTAATTCCTCTATTAGGGTTTCACTCAAGTCATTCTGGTAATTACTACATTTAAAAATAAATATTTAGGACCGTGCATGCGCTTCTACTAGCGGCGTGTGCGCTCGATTCCCCTACTGATCACTGGCCCGAACGGGTCACTTCGGACGTAAAAGATTAAAGGCCAAACAGTGAAGCTTACTTCAAGACTAAGATCTGGTCATGAGCGTCTGAATGGGCTCTAAATTAAGAGAAAGTGACTGACAAACCATCAGTTGTAAAATGATTTTGAAACGAGGCAAGATGTAAAGAGGAATTTTGTAGAAACGAAGCGGTAGTATATGTGGAAGACGAAGGCGAATGAATATTTGCCTTCGGCTTTCGGTAAGGCACTGGTGTATGGTTCAGAAGTTACGTGGTTGGAACACATGACTATATTTTTGAAAAAAGAAACCGCAAGAAATTTATGCATGTAGGAAGGAAGTGGTACTATATACAAATTTGTATAGATCTGGTGGTACGTGGGTAAGACATTGGCGTAGTATTGGGAAGGTACCGGGTTCTAGACCACTGTCTCTCTTGTCAGTAGAAATTGAAAAGTGAATAAATAAATACGATTTTTCTGCAGCTATAAACCAAGTCGTATAATATAAGGACGATCGCAGACAGCTACAACATACGTGGTCTGGTGGTCTAGTGGTAAGGCACCGGCGTTGTAAATACAAGGTTAGTGGTTCAAATAGAGAAGTATTTTTGTAATGAGATTTTTATGGAATTATATAGCGACATGTAACATAAGAGGAAGATTAAAGCTTAAAAATTTCCGCGGCATCGGTGGCCTATTGGTAAAACACCGGCGTAATGAACAAGAGTTGGAAGGTTTGAAACCAAGTATAGTTTTGTGATTTAGAAAGTAAGTTAATTGATTTTTCTGGAATTATAGTCGAAGATGTAGCATAAGAGGAAGATAAAAGAAAATAAATTTCAGTGGTGCTGGTGGCTTAGGGGTAAGACATCAGCTTAGTGTTCAGAAGGTCCCTGGTTCAAAACCAGTAGGATTTTTGTGAAAAATGAAATGGAAAGAAGTTAGGAGGTAGGGTAAAGGAGGAGGGAGAGATAGAGGGAGGGACCGGGGTGAGGGAAGATTTTTTTTTTGCGGCCGCTCATTAAGACATTGATGACCATTGATGGTAGTCAGGGCTTGTTCTAACGCCTCACTGTATTTTTTTTTTAAAGTAGAACTGCTTCCTATAAATACAAGGAGTATATGATTAGTATATTTAATGCATACAAATTTTGGCAGGAAGCAGTTTGCTTTCAGTTTTCAGTGCATCAGAATACCTTTCTTTAAGTATAACTAATAATATTGTGTAATATTTAGCACACTGCCCCCATACAGTAATGCCATATGAAACTGGGTAAACCAACCCATGAATTAATTTGCAGGGTTGGTCTTTACCCTACAATGATGGGCTGCCTTCATAACATCCAGTTGTTAGATGGTAGGACTATGGGTAATGAGGGCAGTAGTCTTGACTTCATAATGCGTATGCCTATTAACTTTTGCGAAATTTGATAGTCGAAAACAGTTCATAAGCTGCTCATAGCCCACCCTAAATATTACTCCAGTGCTAAATCATACATTTTAGAATTGTGGATCCGGTTTTTACGCATACTGTGGCTGTAAACTCTCGCAAATACGGAAATTTTTACCCGTTTTGTGAAGTTAATTACTATGCACAAAATACTATACATAAGCAGTCTCCAGCAGGAAGACTCGTGTGCCTACACATACAATTCTGCAGCGTGGTGCAGTGAATTGTGCTGACCGGTGCTGAGTTTGGGGGTGGGGTGGGAACATTCCACATTGATGACGTCAAGAAAGGACAGCTCTCTCTGAAAATTATAAAGAAAAATCAGCAGTCTTTCGTAGTATGATATATTATAAGTGGGTTATTTCGTATGGTAATTCATAACATTTTACTGCACTGTATACTGGTATTTTATATCATCAAATTACGATGTGGAGCAGATAATCAGTCGACATACTACAATGACCAATCACAAGAAGAGACTCTCATGTGCTAGCAGTTGTCGTATTTTAGTTTAGATGGCAGCACTGTAAGTGGTTCCATTCTTTTCATTCCTAACATTCCAAAATGCCGAGGTTGGGCAGAATGTCAGAAGTTAGTTTGTTAGCTGAATAGAGCTGTGGAATTCGATTATTTTACGCATGAAATTGTGTCCGTGTCACTCGTATCATTTGAAGAAACGATTCATCAACTTACATTTAACGTAAGTTTAAGTTTTATCATGGAATGACAGCAGAATATTATTCTTATAGTATGATTTTATAAATGTCATCGGGTAAAGGAAGGAATCTTGTAAACAGGTGAAATTTTTATTAAGAGACATAATAAAACTTGTTATTTCGCACAGTTTTTAACTAACCATGAATTACTTATTCAGTTACATTCCTGTCACAATATTGACATATATTTTGATACCTTAGTATTTGCCTGATTATATCACACAACAGTCTTTAAAATTTGTATTTTGGTTTCAGTCGTATATTACATAAATTCTACGTTTTTATTATAATAGATACATTAATGATGGAGGCCACAGAATCTCCTCTTGATGTTCTATCACGAGCAGCAACAATGGTTCAGGACAGTTCCCCACCTGACTATGGTGAGTTATATTATCATTTATTTATTATGTAAGTAGCATAGTTTTGTTTATTGTTGTCTTATGTGAAATTTAATAATTTGAATGTTGTAAACCTTTACAATTTCAAATGGTTGAGTGCTTAATTTAGAATGACAAATTTGAATGAGTGGAAGGTGACTGCACTTAATATAATGTGCGTTATTCACATATTTTTAATCCTAATATCTCTTCTAAAATCAAGGATATGAACCCCCTAAAAAGAATTGCAGCACTTAATGTAATTTTCTATCTCCTGTTGTCTGAACTTAAAGCAGTATAACTTAATATAATTATTACAATTAAATTGTTTAATTAAGTACTTGTCAAATGTGAGATATGGTCATGGTCAGGAATATAGTGAAGGAGATTACTGCATATAGAAAGAATGAAAAGTCCATTAGGGGGTCAGGAAAATTAAAATGGAGTTATAAACCTGAAGGATGAAGAGTAGGAGAGAGATTAAGGCCAAGTGCTGATGCAGGCATAAATTTCCCCAAACCTTAGAGATAAAATGAAGGTATTTGTTAACATGGTTTCATTAGTTGAACTATAAATTGTTTTCCATCACAATTATTCGTATGGATTTTATGGTAGACACAGCTTCACTGAGACATATTCTTATGCTTTTTACTTCTTTTATGCAATTCATTCCATTAATCACTTTATAATTTTATCTTTTTCATCACTACCAAATTCATCAGTAGTTGGTACAGAGTCTGTTATGGTTTGCTTACTCATTCGGCCATTCTAGTAATGAATGGAGTAATTATCATGCCGTGCTAGTGGACAGAGATGTAGCACCTTCTAACCATCTGTATTAAGGGATTACTTTTGTGGACAGGAGTTCCAATTTAATAGGGAAGAAAGAAGGCACATGACTTTAGTGTGCAGAAATATGTCATGTAGAATGTTAGTTTTCCAGCATTTTGGTGAACTTTTCAGATGCCTTCTTTAGGAATTCCCAAAGACATTAACCCTGAAGATGGCAAGTGCAGTATTTGCTGAAGTGTTGAAAAACCTTCAGCATTCTATGTGGTGTATTCCCGAGAGCAGAAGACATATTAAACT